CCAGCCATAGTTCCTTGTTGCTTATTCTTATTATTCTGGCCATCTGATCTTCAGCAGCGAGCGTAAGCAGTTGTTGATGAGTGTCTGTAGTTTGATGGAAACCCCTTTCGTTACGTGCCAAGTATCTAAACCATGTAGAAGAACTGACTTGACAATGGAGTTTAAAATCCGGATCTTGTTCTTCATGTTGAGTGCGGAAGATCTCCACACTGGTCTCAGGTTAATGAACGCCTGTCTTGCTTTTCCGATCCTGGCTGGCTTTGACGTCCTCGTATGTGCCTGTACCACCTGTAGTTGAAACAGCGCTGCCTAGATAGGTGAAAGAAGCTACTTACTTTAAGTTTCTCCCACTGATGGTGATCAGAGCTTGTTGTTTTTGGTTGGGTATCTTCATCACTTCTGTCTTCTCTACGTTCACCTGAAGAAAGTCCCGTTTTTGCTGCCTCTTCTGCCAACTTGTTGGATTTTGCCTGTAGATCTTTAAGTTTGTGTGAGACTAGACACAATTCGTCGGCGAAATCCAAATCTTCTAGGATCTTTTCCCCGGTCCAGCGTGTTCCCCTCTCATCGCTCCTCACTGTTTGCTGAATGATCCATTCCACCACAATCAGGAACATCGTGGGTGATAGTAGGCAACCTTGTTTCACTCCTCTCTTCATTTCAAAGGCATCACTGAGCTTTCCACTGTGAATTACTTGGCGTGTGGTGTCTTCATATAGTTGTTGCATGAAGTTGATAAGTGTTTATGTTATTCCATAGTGTTGGAGCTGTTTCCAAATCACTTTTCGGTCGACGCTATCGAAGGCCTTTTCATAGCCGATGAAACTGTGGAAGAGTTGAGCTGAGTTGACTGCCATTCTATACTCTGTTCTATGATGATGCGTAGTGTTGCAATATGGTCCGCTCATGATTTGTACTTCTAGCCAGCCAGCCTATTCCGGTGGTAATTTTGAATCCAGTGCATCATTTAGTCTCTCCAGGATGATGTGGCCTAATATTTTGCTTGCAGTGGACAGGGGTGGAGCATGATTCAACGTCAGTTCTTGCAAACACTGAGGTCTCCCTTCTTCGGCAGTTTGACAAGGTAATCCTTCTTCCAATCACCAGGTACCTTCCTTCTTTCGCTTCAGACCTTCTGCAATAGTGGTGTGAGTATGTCCACTGTTTTCCCTGCATCTGTTCTTAGCGCTTCCGGCGGGATTCCATCTGGTCCTGCATATTTCCCGCACTTCAGTACCTTTATGGGTTTCAGGACTTCGACTTCCGTCGGAGGGCTTGTGTTCACCGATAGTTCTGTGGCTGGGTGGCAAGTGGTATTTCTGGGCGAAATGCAGATGGTGGTCGATTAAACAGCTTTTCAAAGTGGTCAGCCCATCATTTCCTTTGTTTCTCTTCTTTGGTAACTAAGTTTCCCTCACTATCTTTCATTGATTTCATCTGTGTTGATCTCTACCCTACTAGATAGTAACCTGGTTATTTGATACAATGTTGTCAGTTCTCTCCTACCAGCAGCCTGCTCTACTTTAATTGCCATGTGTCGTGGGAGTGTCTTTTGTCTTTCCGTTTACTCTTCTTCACTTCTTTGTCCAGTGTTTTATAGGTTGTATTCAGTTCCTCATTCGTTGTGCATCCTTGCACTGGTTTATCTTCTGCTTCACCATCTTCCTCTCCCTGCTCTATCAGCTTACATGTGTCCGTCAACATCCATTCCTTATCTTCTTTCTTCTTCCTCCATAATACGGTTGTGCAGGTTTCTTTCCACATCTCTTTCAAAGACTTCCAGTGTTCTTCCACACAGGTTTCTTCAGGGATGTTACTCGATATCTCCCATTTTGTCTTGATGGCTGGCGTGAAAGCTTTCAACCTGATTTTAAAGTTGGGTTCCTTGCACTAGATAGTGGTCTGAGCCTAAATCCACTCCTCTTCTTGACACCGTGTCAAGCAGGCTGACTGCGTCTCCACTTTCGTGAGATTGAGATGAAGTCGATCTGATTTTTAGTGTGTCCTGGTTTCTGGTGAAATCAAATCCATGTCACTTTGTGGATATCCTTGTGCTTGAACACACTGCCTCCAATCACCAAACCGTTGAATGCTCAGAATTCTGCAAACAATTCTCCATTCTCGTTCATCACCTCACCGAGCTCTTCTCAACCCATGGTTTGTTCTCTTCCTGTGTTGTCCCCTCCCAGTTTGGCATTCATGTCACCCCACCCATCAGAATGAATTTTGATGTCGCCATCGCCAACTGAGATCATGTCCAGTGTTGATTGAAGTTGTCTGTAGAATTCCTCCATCTTCTCTTCATCTGCATTATTTGTGGGTGCGTAGCATTGAATGATTGTGACTTTCCTTCCTTTTGAGTTGAACCCTGGTGTCATGATCCTGGAGGAGATTGGTTCCCACTGCATGAGGACCTTCGATGCTGTTGGGAGGGGGACATCATGATAGTTACTCCAAGACTCAGTGTGCTCGTGGTTGTCGTGTCGTCTGGATGACAATATCGGAGTAGATTATTGACTCCTCTCCAGTTGACAGTTTAGAGAGTCTGCTTCCTTTTCATCTGCACATTCCTCGCAGATTCCTGGCACTTCTATGCTATACCTTCTCATCTCGTTTGCAATCTGGGCTACCTTGCTGGGTTCAAACATGGTGCGGACATTCCATGTTTCCATGATTACTTTCGCTTTCATCAAGAGAAGAGAAGACACATCGGCCAATTGGCTTCTCGAAGGTTTTCACCTACCGGCGTCTTTCGCCTCTCCGATTACAGCGATGAATAATTTTGTTTTTATTTTTTGTATTTTGTTTTTAATTTGAAGTTTCTTCAGTGATTGGATTGGTTTTACGGGGTAGGGTTGCTGGCCCTACGCCTAACCTCCCCTCTTTACGCTGGCTTAGGACCGGCTAGTGATAAGTGAACTGGTTAACCAGGCGAGCTTAACAAACCTCAATATTCCACACATTTTTGTTGACCCATCACTTTTAACTTGGTGATTCTAATCTATTAAGACTAAATCTGATCAATAGGCTGATTATGAACTTCCTAATCAAGGCATCCTTTTTCATAAAAATTTTATATATCATTTCATTTTGTTCTACTGTAGAAGGAGAAGATTGTGTTGATAGATCTTGCTTATAAAGTGGGATCATGAACACTAATAGGCTACTTCTTGTGAAATGAAGGAACATTTCTCCTTAAAAAAACATAATTGAACATTTTTATTCATAGTAATTCATTTAGACGTGCCATTTGAAGGATGGATTTAAGATTTATTTAATGATAATCAGTCAAATGTTTTTCGTGAACGTGAAACCGGCAGTATCATTATTGATGTATACTATCAGTATCCTCAAGTATGCTCTAACTAATATTATTATCTTTGTTTCTGTTGAGAGTACTAGATTGGCATAAGTAGAAGAAGTGGTAATACTGGTAATAGTAAAAGATGTAGTTGAAGCAACTACGACTCTCTAGTGGCAACCAAATGTCTCATCATCTAATTAGTGACGCTCATGAATGTCTGGCTGAAGTCATATGTATGGTCACCCTTAATCAGATAGCTGGCTTTTCTGGTGATCCTGATGGTTATAGTATTTTGAGATTAGTTGCAGGACGGTGGGCCATCGCATGGTTCCCGCTGATAAGCAGATATCAACACACGAACCGAATCACTGCCTTTCTATCAGATGCTATTTTGTCAAAGTAAACAAACCCATTTAGCGTGGGTAATGGCCAGGCTAATCAGATACTAACAAACTCTCTGAAGTACCTAACGTGTTTGCTCAGAGCGGTTGAACTGTGACTTGTTATGTGGTAGGAGAGTATGCAATGCATGCAAGATATGATTAGGTGATAGGCTATATGCCTAACGTCTCCCCCGAGTAGGACTGAGATGGTCAGCGTACCTGCCCATATCTCTGATATGGGTTGCAGGTCAATAGTGTGATTCATTCTAGTGACTGTATCAGCGGTCGCTATGGAACGCTGAAGGAGACAAAGCTTGTATCATCCCTCCCGGCTGCGAAAATGGTCTTTGGAAGCCGTCGCTGATTGACTTCTGAACCTAGTTAGTTGTCTTCTGTCATCATACAGACAGTAAGGGCTGAAATACCTGAACGCCACCTAGTGCATTTGCGCAACAATTTGATCACACATGTTCTTGTCATAGATAAACATTGAGAATATGAAAAGAGGTCAAGTAGGAAGGTTCGACTGAAGGCAAAAATAACAAAGAAATCAACAGAGCAAATATATCAGTTCATCTATCTTGGTTTCAGGGCTGAATTCACGGTAGAAGGTTAAGTGAGATGCAAAATTATTTTTGAACATGCAAAGGTGGCTTAAAGTTTCTAACAGCTAAGACCTTGTCAAATTTAAGGGTACGTCATCAACACACTTTGTAAATAGGTCTAAAGGATGTAGCGACATCAATCCTGTGGCGAGATTAAAGAATATGGACATTTGCAAATCAAATCACCTGGACCAATAAACATATGTAGCAGACGTTCAATTTCTTTGATCGTAAAAGAATATCGTTGAAATAGGTCATAAGATTGACGTTTCTACTTCCTTTAAACCTATTAAAAGGTGTTGGGGACAGACCTTTAAGTTTTTCGTTGCTTTAGCTATTAGGAAATTTCAAAAAACATTTGTTGTTAAATTAAATCTCCCTTGGTGAATTCAGCTTTGAACGCAAGTTCAGCGTACTGTTGTTTTCACTCTGTTGATTTTTATTGTTGATTAGCCTTTAAATTCAGCCTTCCTAATTGATCTGTATTCACATTCTCATCGCTTATTACTGGAACACTACCTCGTTTAAAGATAGTATTGATAATGAACTTGGAGTATCATTGGAAATCTTATTATTTAAATTATTAAAGGGAACCAAAAACGTCATTGAAAATCAAGTGTTCACCTGACACCAATGAGGATACATATAGAGATATAAGTAAATTTGAACGCTAATAAATTGTCATTAGGTTAGTTTTTATTGACTTACCTCCTTGTGTAAAACGTTGTTTCATTGCTTCATCTGCTAATGATTGTTGTCTTATTTTATTGATTTCATAATTTGCTTTTAAATGCTCTTCACTCAATTTATTTGCACGTATTGATGATACAAAATGAGCACTACAGAATGCTTTGACAGTGACACGATCAAAGTCTAATGGTTTTCTAAATCTAACAAAAATTTGTAATAATAAGGATAAAAATAATAATGTTAGATGTATTAGATTAGATTAGTGCACGAATTCAAATAAAATTATTTAACCCTTCAAAACTGATTTATACGGTCAAAGACTTTAATAGCTCTGGCAACATCACTGACTGCAGCATTGGGTGATGACAGTTCAAATCTCCTAGGTCAAGCAGGACTTCTTGCCGATTGCCTCCAACCAACTGACACCCATCAAAGTGTACTGCAAATTTTTTTGGCCACATTGTGAAATGATGGATAGAAACTGGTCAGGATTGAGAAGTAGACAACATGGAAGTAGTTGCTGCTCAGTGACCAATCACAGTTTATACTGGTTCGCCAGTTGAAATTATTCGTGGTAATGTCCATTGAGAGAATGAATGTACAAGGCATCTTTTTCCACTGCCGACAGGACGTAAGTGCAACTATTGTATCCCTTATTCTTCCGTATGATAAGTTGACCTGTAATCATGGATCACTTTAAAGTCATCAGTTTTATGTTATTTTGGCCTCATTGTTGATCTTTTGGTGATTTAACTACTAGGTTACGTAACTCGAAACTTTGAGTGACTTTAAAGGCCACCCTAGCCAGTTACATTTCTTTACTTTGCAAACAAAAATAGACTGCTTTTCTAGTTGAAATCAAGTAACCCAACTGGTTATTTCATTGGTTGCTATGACAATGTATTTAATGCAGAATGATTGCAACCAGTTGATAACAAGCAAAATAGTGGCACCTTATCAAAAATGTATGGACAATAAAATTATATCACTTTTGACTGAGATAGCTGTAGTTTGACAGACTTGTATTACTGATGATAAGTGATAATTGGAGGTGAAATGAAAATCTGGGCGTCTGGAGAGTTGGAATGAGCAACCTCCGAAATTTGCAGCGGTGAGTCGGTAACCCAAAAGTCGCTGGTTTGAATTCTGCTGTGACTCAGACTGTTACTTCACTTTCAATCATCCCTCGATACTAAAATAGTAAGCAGTTGGGGTAGAAAGGTTTGCTACGAAGTCTAATAGGCGTACCATACAGTGGAAAAGCTTTGGTTTTCATCTTTAAATCAGTCATCGAAGTGTACTAATTACACTGGCTTGGATATGATGTAGTAAGTGTTCACTGGTACTTCATGTCAATTTCTTGCATTTATCACTTAACCTGTTACCGAAACTATTTTTACTTAGAATCATTCTCAACCGCTTTTCGTTTGAAAGATTGTATAAAATGTATTCATCATTATAAGACGAAGCTTCAACATTCCAAAGTGAGGATGACATACAACTCAAAAGGAAATGGATTAGTAGAATTTTGTACATTTTGGAAATGGTGTCGAAGATATCAGTTTGTGGTTTGAAAAAACTTAACTTTCTTAATAAAACCATAATTCAGTTGAAGGAACGAATTCCGTCTAGTTGTTAAATCGCAATCTCAAAATGTGAATCCTGCAGAAAATCGCTTTAATCATGGTTGTGTTGTTTTCTCTGTGCTGGGGCTTTCATTGTCTTTCTAGACAAAAACACCAGCACTAACTGATATGAAGATAGCTGTCAATATGTCTTCGTGAGTGATTCAGTAGCTTGCCCTGATGAGGTGATTGGTTGTTCCTTTTGATTATTGTGTAACTGTATAGATTTTTTGTTGGTTGTTTCTCTCCCTGACCTTTTTGTTGTTCATCGTTTTTCTTATTGGTTGATAGATTGGGTCTATGTCTAGACATCTATTGTCAGAGTGCACAACACAACCGAGAACATCCACTTGGGTTACAAATATTTTCCACCATTCCAAATCGCAGTAATTTTTGGCACTGCCAGTCAGCTAGATAAGCACGTCGAGTTGACTATCATTTGCATTGTTATATGAATACCATAAACCAACGTCACCTCCTGTCTATTGTTCGGACATTTGATCTCGATAATGAGTGGTAATGGTAGGTGTCTCAAATATTGATATTAGTGAGTAGTAAATGGAAAGTGTTTTGTGGTGTCCTACTATAAAACTTTATTATATAACTGATGACTGTAAAGAAATTAAGATTGACTAACTGTTGTCCTCGAGAATCTACAAATCAGTTTCATATTAGGTGAGTCTATTTGACGCTTACTTTAGTGCCAAAAAGGAATAACCCTAGCAGAATGTATGCTAATAATAGGATTCATAAGCCACATTATCATGTCAGACAAGTAGTTGGCTATAGGAACATTTCAACATTTAAAGTATTTATATATTTAGTATCAATATTATATCCTGCTAGAAACCGCTCAAACTCTGAACTAACAAAGTCATATAAAATGATAATAGATAAGAACATTAAATCAAAGAACCCAAATAAACGAACACATTTGGAGCTGAAAAAGATCCTTTTACTGGGTCTTGAATTCAAAAATGATATTGCTGCGGACATTCTTAAAAAGCGACTATCAAAATCCCTTATTAGAAGGCACTTCGACACCGAACTCCTAATCATTCTCTTCTGTAGGCAACATTTTGGTCAATGTGTGAAAGATAAGCTGATCGATTGGGTTACATCAGTATGTGTATACCAGTTCATTTGCTCCCCTGGATCTGAGTACGTTGGCCGTACCATACGTCCGCTTGTAAAGTATACTCGTAAACACAATCCAGCCTGCCTGGCAAAGAGAGAACGGAAGTGTATCTTGAGCTGAATAACAGAACATCTTATGAACTCAGACCACTCAACTCCTTTTGAGAACTCATTCCAAATCTTCTACAGGGTCCAATCAAACTACTCGAAGAGAGTGAGATAAAGGCATTTGGGTATAGCTAAAGCACTAGCCATTCAAAAATTCAAACCAGCGTTGTTTCCAAAAAAGGTACATTCAACCTTTATCTTTGCTGTGGCCATCACTAGGCTTTGACTGTCATAGATTTGTTCCACATTATATAATTATACATTTTATTTTCATACGAAATTAAGCAAAAGTTAGATAATATTCAAATAGAAGAGGAAGCAAAAATATCATTTTCGAGGTGAATGACTTATATTACTAATGTACCAATCAGTAAGCCTCTAGAAGCTGGCTAAAGTGAATTCCACAACAATCCTGAACTCCCTCACATACCTAAAGTACTGACTGAAGACATCATGTTAGGAAGTCAGTTATGTCTTACGTATATGGTTTCCAAAAAATATATATCAATAAATGGGAAGGAGTAGCGATGGAATCATTAATATTTCTAGTCATAGCAGATGTTTTTATGGACAGTCAGGAACGAATGACTCGAAGAAGATTCAACCCTACCGTGCAAGTATGGTGGATGACTGATTCACTTTATTGAAAACAGAACATATCCATCACTTCTTCAGACACGTACACTATGTGATAGATACAGTACAATTTCCTTTTGAAATAAACAGTCAGAAAGGAGAATTAGCTATATTAGTTTGTAAAATAAAATGAAAACTAGCCAGTGGTTAAAAAAAGTGTCTATAGTGAACCATCACATTCCAATAGACATCTAGATAACTTTAAACTGCCTCATACTACATGAGTAAAGACAGGTTTAGTAGAATGTTTAAGTATTCGAACTAATGAGTTTCTCCATTAAATTCAAAGAGTTAAATGATGAAATGAAATACGTAAGGGAAGCTTTAATTCTTCATAATTATCTTCCTAAATTTATTGAGAAATTTATTTGCACGCACATAAACAATAAAAGTATTGATGCGAGCAATGATTACAACACAACTAAGAAGAATTTCAAGACTTTTATCGTATTGTCATATTCAGAAAAAGTATCACAAGTCCAGAGTAGGATTCTTGCTGTCTTTGGGTCATTAGACTAGTATTGAAACTTACAAATTCACACAGAGGAGAACGTTGATTGTAATTGTGATCTCAAGAGTGTACGTGAAATAAGCCAATCGTAATCAGTCAGGTTGATCGATTATACAAATCTAGTTGAGTCTAGATTAATAAATCCTGAAGATATACGTAAGCTAGAGTAGAATTCCACCATAGGCATGCATGGGATAACAGACAGCTACACAATATGGTGGGACAAAGTAATAGTCCTAAAGACAAATGTAGTTAACTAGAGATAGAGGCTAATCATTGAAACGATGAATTTGGGGTTTAAATCTCAATGGGTATACCAGTAATCACTAGTTTGCAGGTACAGCTAGCTGATAGCTCCTAAATAGGACGGAACGCGCTTCCTGTATCCCGCAGCTAACTACCACGAAGCAAATTACATTTTGGCTAGTTGATTGAAATTTGCAAGACAAAGAAATTCAGTCAACGAACCAATCAAATAGAAACTGTTGATCAAATGGTTGGAAATTGACAATTTTAACTCAAGTAAAACTATCCGTCATCTTCAAAATCTTAGATATGCTATTAGTTCTTGATTCGATTGTTTTTGTTCCATTAGGCCTAGTCATAAATTTTTCCTGAGTGCATTTCTAATTTTAACTTGATCATTGAACTCTTTTCGTCGAGGCGGTTATTTTTTTTATTCAAATGCTAATATATCTGAAAGTCACTTTTGAACAATCCACCTGGCCGATTATTTAAACTCAGATTTCATACTGTTTTATTTGAAGTCTTTCAAAGAAACATTTAAATTTTATCATTATAATTTGTGAACAGAACAACGATTTATTTCATCACAGGATTCGAACCAGTAGCTTTTAGGTTACCGGACTGGCGCTCTATACATAGAGTAGCAAGACTTAATTGTTGACCAGGTAATTATTTCACTTCAATAACTCCTAGCCTCACTTGGCTTTCTTGGGAGTGAGTTACGTTCAACTGTCCATTTATTGTCAACACTAACCGACATATTAGATCCGCTAATCTACAGTTATTTCATTTAGTCTCATAGAAAACTTTCATCGGCACCAGTTACCTTTTAACTGATATATCCATCTAAATGTTTACTCTGAGAGTAAGTATCTTCTGAATCATAAAATCAGAACTCAATATACTAGACATTGGTTCGTTATGGGCCTTAAGTATGGTATGTGCTGTTTACCAGTGGAGTGTAAAGTACTTTAACAAGATTGGCAGTAGCCTGTACCAGCGTTGAACCTCAGTGGTTATGCTCTTGTAGGTAGTCGGAAAGTTAGCGTATCTGAGTAGTTATGTGTGCTGATTAAGGTGTGAGTGATGAGTTTTCTAACTGCATACGCCTATCTGCGCCACTTCTGGCACCATCAGTACGATTGTCTGACCGTAAAAGGTCAGGTTTACAACGCTTCGGTGCGGGCAGTTCTGCTCTACACCTGTGATTTTCGACCTCTCCGACCTGACGATGTATGATGACTTTGTGCGTTTGTTCATCATTTGCTCCGTATGATTGTTCGCATTTAGTGGCAACACCATGTCAGTAATTGTGAGGTGGGACAGTGAGTATCTAGACATGATGGAGATCGTCATCTTGAAACACCGGCTTCGGTCTTTTGGACATTTGTTACACATATCGTCGCAACGGCTTTCATACTATTCAGTGCTTGTTAGCCCTGGGTCTCGATGGAAGAAATAGAGAGGCGGTGTGTGTATAACGTAACGCCGTGAGATGAAGTATAGTTGTATCGGGTTAGCATCTGTTGGTGTACCACGACTCCCTAGGTCAGGTTCGAGAGATCATGCGACTCACTCGCTTTGGAAGTTATATGATATGACTGAGAACAGAAACCAGTGGTGGTCATGCTGCAACTTCCTTTTATCTTCTGTTGCTGAAAAGTGACGTATGTAACTTGGTGCAGTGGCTTTCTAGTCATTCTATTCTTAATGTGTTTTTCTCTTTTTATTTATCCACTTACCAATCGTATATGTCCTCAAAATGTTGTTATATTATTTTGGTAGGGCGCATTTCTTGGTGCCTTTGCTTTTATCATATTTTCGTTCTAGTGACTAAATATAAATAATAATATGGACAAATCAGTACACACTTTACTGATGAAATGTGGTTATTCGGTGAGTTTAGCGTAAGGATAAAATTTAAATAAAACACCCAGTAATTTGGCTAACAGAAATTGAAATATTCACCAGCTTAATTATGTCGACAGCTTAATGATTTTCGGGAAATATCTCATTTATCTCTACACCACGCATTACTAGATGAATTAAGTTGGAAGGCACCATTGTCATCAGTCATCAGTGTTTTTAACAGATTAGTGTGAATTGAAAACTGGATGGCTATTTTATTAATTCCAAATGAGTAGAAAGATTATGAATACAAAATTTTGTGACTCAGACAGACAAACAGGTAGAAAGACAAGCAGGCAGACACGAAGATAGATAGACAGGCAGGTAGGCAAGCAGATAAACGAACAGACAGATAAATAAGTGCTCAATTCGTATTCAGAGAGCGATCTGGCTGCATGGTAGATTAAATTAAAGCTGGTGCTTGCCGAATTCTTCATGTCATGGGATGTCAATTGGACATCAATTGGTATTTTAAATGCTTGCTTTTTATTCTTCAACTCCGTGGAGAGAAAAATGCCCGTCAATCAGATTTATTGCTTCAGTTGAAATCAAGAGGTTTTTCATTGTCAACATGGTATCCAAGGTCAAATAATAAATAAGAATTTAAACAAAATTTGTAACACTCGAGAGAGAAGTGCATTACTTACGCAGTATCTAATTTTTCAAGTGCCAATCGATTTCTTTCCGTCTCCCAAGCTGTTTCTCTATACACCAAATCAATTTCAGCTTTACGATCTCTGAATAAATCATTTCGAATTTCTGGGACCAAATTAAATTCCTAGATAATTATCATAAAATTATGCCATCATATATATATATATATATATATATATATATATATATATATATATATATATATATATAGTATTCATCACGAACTGATATCCGTTTGATAACCATTGAGATCAGAAAATAAATTGATGTATATCAGTCATTAATGATATGCTTTGAAATGGGTATATTGAAGTTCCAATGAGAAACCATGATATAAGGGGTCAATTAGTCAAAAGTGTAGCGGATTCCAACAAAAGACATTGTTGAATAGTCATGCTATATCATGAATTGAAAGAACTAGGAAACTGTGATTGAACTCCCACTATGCGGGTGAATGGATAGCGCATTTGTTGCTAGGACTAAGGTTACAGAAGTTGATCCTTGGTGGGGTTGCGTATAGCTGAGAAGTCCCATACTAGGGTGAAAAACGTTTACAGTGCCCTTAGGTTTGCGATGGTTCTCCAACTGATGTCGTTCCATGACGAATAATACTCTGAAATAAAACCTCCATTATATATATATATATATATGCTGGAGTAAAGCAATTTGCCTAGTTGCATTGCTTTTATAATTAGATGGCAACAACATTTCACTCTGTAACCTAGAATTAGTATAAAGTCTTAGCTGTCTTTCCAATTGAATTACGTAGTCTAGTATTCCACAGAAAACTCTTTGTTCCCAAAAAGTAAAGTTTTCAATAATTTTTCCCCTCTAGTAATTTGGATCTGAGGCTGGAAGCTATTAAATTACTGTATTACATATTTATTTTCTTCAGGGATCCTCCAAAGGTGCTCAAGGTCAAGATACTTGCAATAATAGCATTGTTATAGTCTTCACATACTGTCATACTAGGCAGGAGATTTCCCTCTCAAATAGGAAAACGTTAGTTGTATAGATATATGAAGTGGCACTACTGCTTGATGTTCCATAGTGCTGGAACTCATATTAGCACACTGAAATATAAGGCACAAAGATGATAGATGAATTCAGAAGAAGTGTGATCTTAAGTAGTACAAAGTTTTTTTTATCAGGAACAGGTGTCAAAGTAGATAACGAAATTTGGCAGGACGAGTAGAATGAAAGTCATGTGTAGATGCATCTTTTCCTGTGTAAATGATTTCCAGACAAGTCACCTGGAGTCTGCAGCCATTTATCTCAACTTTATCTTAAGGAATTCAATCTAAAAGTGTACATTTATTTACATGGGTCATACCAACAATGAGATACCTTGTGAACTGAGGCTACATCACATGATCTCACAAACTAACGTCACTGTTTTACTTAGAACTGAACACCTGACCCTTACATTAATAACTTGTTGCTTCCAAATCACATAGATAATGCTACAAAGGGGATCTTGGTCGAATACGTGAATCATGGTGTCCATCTTCAATGGTCACCCATGTTTCTGAGTTATATTGCACAGTAAAATAAAACGATATTGTTAAACAAAGAAAGCTGAATTACTGAACATATAGCGAAATATACTAGTGAATAACTTAAGTATTTAAACACCATCCACGGGGATCTGTAGATTTCACCGGATAGATCGAAACGATCTAAACACCAGATAGGCATTTTGCTAGTTTCGGATAGAGCTAATCAAAGGTGTAATCGGATAAATTTAGCTCGTGCAGCCGAATTAGCTTAGATCACCTGAATCTGGCTGGCTAACTTGCATTAACCAGTATACTTAAAATAGGATGATCAGTTTTCAAATGATCTACATATTGCACAGTCTACGCTTACATTTTTCACAAATGAGTAGTTTGTTTTCAACTGCCTAACTGTCGTGGTGGCTACAAGGCTTCCCTTGGAAACCACCCCACAAGTTAGATCAAAAGGTGTGACTTTCGATACAGAAGTATCATGTCTGAGTGGTTTCTAACTACTCAGATTGTTCACTAGTAATACCTTTCAGTTCTTTATGTCACTTGTATGTCAGAAATCACATCCTGTGATCGTGGCTGCTTTCAGCTGCTGCTATAACAACCAACTCAGTGTACCTTGGTGTTAAAATGTTAATTGAAAATTTTTAGTGTGACACATGATGTGTATTGCTACACTCAGAAGTGATGGAATTTGCAAGTATGCAAAGCTCGAGTATGATTGCTTCACCATCTTAGTAGTGTAGAGGTCAGGCGAAAAACTCTATAAACGCAAGTTAGTCTATGAAGTTGTCAACCTTCATCGACTGAGGTAGTATGGACATGTATCGAGAATTCCGAACCACCGCCTACCTCGTCGTAGAATGCTGGGAGAAGGTAGATTAAGCTGGAAGAAGGCTCATAGTGGTTAGAACGAGACGTGTCACCAGTTATGAAGTCTCCCTCTGATCATCCGCCTAATCCGTATAAGGATGTGTAGACTGACTGACTGGGGACTTCAAGACGACAAGGATCAGTGATTAAGGACTGGTGGTGGCACAACTGAAAATCGGTCATAATCGCAAAGATGTATTTACTCTTTGATGTCTTCTAAAGACTGAATGTTTTCACTAATCTTAATTTTTTCAGATTTCTATCCTCCTATGTATCTTTGAGTACTATGATATCAGTCTTTCTCATGCAAATATTCTTTGTATGTTACTGTGATGTTCAGCAACTTAGACTGATACACTCTAATTCCAGGTTCTCCACTTGTTTTGTCTGTCTGTCTATCTATCCATATACTTATCTTGAAACTAGCATTTTTTTGTTTCTGAAGCATTACTTAAAAATAATGTGAAAGAATGCGAGGGAAATAGTTTTGCTTATCTGTCACAAGGTATTTGCATAATCAGTAGACAAAACAGTAGAATGTCTCAAGATCATAGGCGTACATGGCAAAATATCAGATAATTAAGACTTCTACATGTCTGTAAAAGAAAGAAGGAAACCACTGTGGAACCTAGCTTAAAACTAATTCTTTTCAATTTACTAAATTTTACAGCAGTATGCGAACAAGAAGTGAATAGAAAAAGAAAATTAACGACGACAAACTGATGAATATCCATGAAACTTTTTGGACTTCCATGGCGACAAAGAGTGTACACATCTGCATCAGAGTGATCTATTTTGAACTAGATCATCAAGAGTCTCCAAGCATCTGTCTGTCTTGTCCGGAGAACCTTGAACAGGTAGTTTATACTTCTATGCATGGCTTAATACTGCAATACGAAGCTTCAAGGATTTATGTCACATCTGATTCAAACCGTCCTTAACTTCCTTCTAACACGGTCTTAATTTGGCTGATATCACACATCAGGTATGCGGTGGCTCGGTTTGTTCAACACATATCTAAATAAACTGAGTAGGTAGAGGTTCAAGACTTCATTGAGTGGTTTACTTCCTTGTTTAGTACCGTATGCCTTACCTCCACATTGAGCAAAAGGATGATCCAACCACTTGAGCAATGCCCTAAAGACACATATGACAAAAACTTGAATTTAGTTTTCACGGTAGTATATCATAGCTGTACAATAAGAATGAACAAACTACTTCCCAATTTTCTCACTTGTTGAAATGTAGTTGGATATTGCCTATACCAGTGGTAGCGCAAACTGGCTCATGTCAGACCTTCTTGTTGTTTCGCATTGGTTGGTAGATTGGGTCAGTTTCAATATATCTGTCGATTGCTAACTGAGCTCAATACCAAGCTTCCAAAAATCCTCTGACATCCATCGTATGTTCTCTATTCAGGATTTTCACATTTTCTCAGTCAAATTTATATCCACCATTGTCCGTTTACATTGATGTGAGTGAAGGTATGTCATGATGCTTAACTGTTAGCTGATCTTCACGTAGATGGATGCGATGAGGGTGACCACTTTGTCGGATGCTTAATATTGAACAAGATTATCTCGTGATCAGTAAGCTAATCAGCTCAATATGTCATTATGCCTAATGCAATAGATGTGGCCAAAACAATTTTGTACTTGACTTAAATTCTCTAAATGCTTGTTGGCTTTCGTTATCAAGTAAAGATTTGTAGTTTTTGTTAAACTAAAACTTTTTGGATGATAAACTTAACATTCATCATGTAAAAAACTTTTCTTACCGAGATGGGTAGACGAATCTTTTCTGGTAGACGTTCATTTTTGTCCTTCAATTTTTTAAAATGCCTTCTTAGTTCAATCAATTTACGTCGTGTTTCAGCTTTCTTTTGTTCTGCTAACTCTAGAAGGCGATCATATTCTGATTTCTGTTTGGATTCTTCAATGCTGTAAGCTTTTGGATCTGTAATATCGTCTACACTTTTACTCGTATCCTGAAAGACAGAAAATTATAAATTACTGGTAAGATACTGTTGAAATAAATCTTCGTACAAGTGTCTGATTCGTGATTTATTATTATTATTATTATGAAATCTCTGTTCATTAGGCAATTTTCGTTTACTTCAGTTTGTTGCTCTCTTCGTTTTCGTCTACATGAACATCAGTTAAAAATTGGGCGTCATAAAATATCAACCTTTTACCAGAGTATGCAAACAACTGTGAACACCTAATACAAAGATCTTGAACACAGGAAACACAAAGAACAGCAGAGAATTCCCAAAAGCTTCGAATTCAGGACACTCAACAGTTTTATAGACATGACCTAATCTATCAGTCAATCAGCACGAAAACTGATTATCGGAAGCCAGACAGAGAAACAGCTAATTGAAAAATCTGTGCACTATAATACACAAAAAACAAACGAAATCATCAGTCACATGCCCTATAGTCACTCAGGCTATTGAATCACTCAAGGGGGAAATCCTGACAACTTAGTTTGTACTAAAGTCAACGCTGATGATGTTTTCTAGAAAGACAATTAAACTTTCGTTTCTAAATCATCCAGCCGAAGGAACTCGACACTAGCAAGACCACCAAGCTGAGTCAGTGTGACGATATGTAGCGTGACGCTGAAAATTATACCAACTAAAATCTTAGTTCCAACTACAATTCCCGCTGAATATCTACGCCCTGAGTAGCAAATATTGGCCACAATTTCTCGTGTTTCTAAGGGAAAAACTTGCTTTTCGCTAAGACTTTCTGATATGGAGTGATGATTGAAGGTATACTGGGAAGTGGGTTCACTACAAAAACTCGATTGCAGGCATTTAGACAGCTTTAACAATGTAGTTTTGAAATAATCATCAGTAAACACCAAAACCCTATAAAGGACCAAGTTTATGATATTCAGGCCATGTACAAAACACTTTATAATCTGTCGACTGGATTTAAATTCTACGGTCCAATGTTTCCTAATTCTACCGGTTCGCGATATAGCGTAACAACCACTCAATGTCCTTGAGTGACATCCATCCTCATTCTTGGATTTTTCGATGCCATGAATTTCTATAAGAACATGAAAAAGTCCATCTCGATAAAACTGGCTAAAATAAATGGACAGTAATTCAGTTAGTGAATGCGAATTCTAACCGACTGTTTAAGAGTTTCCACCACAAAACAACATATATATTGCATTACATAATTATATTATTAAATTCAGTGGTTACTTTTATTGGTAACTAGGGTTGGAAAGAGTTAAAAAAGAGATGGTATGTTGTACATTACTTAGAAGCTGGTATCTATGAACCAGCTAGCAATCTCATCGGCGAATTGTTCCATTCATAATGTTCTGAGGGTAAATATGATCATTTATGTAACACCATCACAAAGCTAAGGATTGAAAAACGCACTGATGAAACTTGGCACAACCATAAAATCAAGGTCTTAGTATCTGGATATTAGCTGATCAGTACTTAGTTACATTTTGTTGCATTCGATAAATAATTATATTGGGTTCTATGTTTTGTTCATCTATAATGCATATAATTCGAAGTTACTAAAGCTTAGTTACATCTGGTTCACAACTTAACTTACGAATGTTGACGGAATCCGTGCTCTATATTCTTTAATTTCTTTATCTTGCAATTCTTCTGTCATCAATTCACAGACAAACAATGTCCCATCACTTGCAGCACTCAGTAGAAATCTTGAAAAGAAATTCAGAGCGATAGTACACATTGTAAGTAAATCAAATCAGATTGATAAAAATGTATTCCTCAAGCTTATGTATTTATGCTACAATCTGAGATAAAATGATCTCAGGGGTTTTTTTCATCACAGACTGGTATCGACCAGAGAACTACTGAAAACCTTGAAACACTGGATGGTATATTTCGTCCTGAGTTTGTAACCCTAGCTGTAACCACCCATAACTCTATAAAGGATTCAATACGTAAGAGTTATTGCCTGCGACAGGTTTATTACCACACAATCACAAGGTAGGAATATAACGGCCTAATTTTTCATACTTCATAGCGCAACCATTGGGAATTTCTGCTGTCTTCCCCTATTTGGTTGACATAGCTGGTGACGGCCTTCTCAACAGATCCTCAGGAATGTATTTTTGAGATGGATGGGGATTTTTAATTTAGAAGTAGTATTCATCATGGACTGACATAAGTTGGGGAACCATTGAAAATCTGGGAGCACTGGACAGCTGTTTCGTCCTCGTATGGAACATGCACTGAGATTGATTCTCAGTTAGTATTACCTAGAGTTTTCGATCACTAATTTCGGTTGTCAAGTGAACGCCAGTCAGAATGTACACATTTTCCGAAATTGTTCAAATCAACCGTGAATGACTTCATAGCATGGTTTGATGTTTTTTGATACCAGACCATAAGATCACTGATTATAGGTCTGAGCCGTGTAAGGAGGTGTAGAACACCTGGACCCCAATATGATAGGAACCAATGGTTGGAGACTCTAGGTGACATGTCTGAAAATCAGTAGGAATGACGCAGATTTAATCACTTTTTGACTCCTTCTAAGGCTTGAATATTCACACTAACCGTTATCTTCACATTGTTTATTCTCTCACACTACTTTATCTACTTTTCTGTTCACCTATTCTTTGTGTACTAGTATGATACGTGGCAAATTGAACCGATGGACTTGTGGGTGAGGTTCTACGTTACTTTTTTCTCCTTGTATAACTCAGCTAACATTGCACGATCGAGTATACACTGACTTGGCATGCATAACAAATGTCCCAGACAAATGATTCGATGTAGACTTATCACTTTATCAATAAACTTCTCATTTTTTCCATAAAACTTTACATCATCATCTGATCTCCAAAGAAATCTCAAACATCCTTCAATAATCAAAGCTTTTTCAAAAATGATTTGGTATCACAGTGAGATACATCTTGAAATCGACTTAATTTGGCATTCAAATATTAATTTTATAAAGTTGTATACATTTTGATCAACTTACTTTTCATCATAGGTAAGTACTATACGGTTAATACGTCCACGTTGATTATCGTGTAGTCGAAACATCCAGAATCCTTTGAAGCTAGTGAAATCAAATGGTTTTTCTAACAATTGTACACGAATTACACCATCATTGAAGCCGATTAAAACACGATAACCAGAATTAGAAAATGTCCAATATGTAACACATGTATCCTTTGTATCTGGTATTCGAACTGCTTTAGTTGGCTCAGTTGCGATTATTCGGTCTGCTAGTGTTAAACTATTTGAATCTATTACTTCAACACTTTCTTCCTCGCTTTCTTGATCATTTGATTCAGTTTTATCATCACACTGTTCTGCATCATTTTTATCTTCAATATCATGTTTAATTTGATTTTGTTTTTTCAATTCCGCTTTTTCTTTACGCAGTTTTTCTATAGTTTCATCAACTTTTAGAACGGGACCACCTAATTCACATTTATATAAATAGCCTTTATCAAATTCACCCTGAAAAAGGAATAATCGAAAAGTAAAGGAGAATTTACAGTAGTGTTCATAATTTAAAGATAACCTTATAGTTAAATTATTAGCAAAACTGAGAAAATGACGGTTCATTGGAATAGGATTTATGTAACAGAGTAATACTTTAAAGAACAAGGTGGAAAACCACAGAATTCCAACCACCTGCTACGGGGCTACTGTGTAGGTACTCATCTGATTGGGCTATACGATTGACATGAACATGTTCTCACCAGTTTATCAGTAGCTGCTATCTCTCTCTGATTCAGTTCTATTTAGATTTGGATCAGAAGACTTGGTTAGGTGGCTAGCGTGATGACTACAACTTGGAATTACTTAACATGAATTGAAACAATGGTCAAATGAATCCTGGACGACAAAGTAAGATCAAGACATAAGTGAGAAGCTGCTTCTCTCGGCTTACTGAATAGAACCTCGGATCGGAGGTCACTGATCTAGTTTCTTTCAAGACCCGTGTTTTGATTCCACCTCCAATCATCTCTACACATGACTAGTAATAATCTTCCAAACCGCCGCTATTCCCGATAGTACTACCGAGAAATGGGTATTTCTGTCACGGACACTACTATAAGCTTAATGTGACAAGCACACAAATATTAGCACATAGCCAGCATGAAGAACATTTTAGCATAAAAATAAACTTCATTTTGCCAGTTTATATCCTTTTGTTCTGTTAATATGAGATTGTTCACTCGGCTTTTGTTTCGAAAATCATTCAATCTTTAGTATGTTAAATATTAACCACCTTCAATGTGCTTCCTACTTATCATCATAGGCCATAGGTCCCGACTTTTGTATGCACCCAGCTACTTTCCTTGTTTAGCTCTTTAATGGATGGTTTAGTTGCTCTCCAACTGATGTCAGTTCGTGAATAAAACCCTTTTAAAGTCGGCGAACCCCCTACAAATCACTATCTGAATTCTTAAGGTTTAGTCTTAGCTTACAACTGAGGTAAATGAGTGGAAGATGTCAGCAACGAAGACAGTTAAAGATAAAGACAAGAATACCATTATTTTATCACAGGATTAGGCTGAGTAGCTGTGGTTAGCATATTCTTGCTACAACATGGTATTCGTCACAGTAACAACCTCACAATTGAGTACATACACTAGAAAAATGACGCCGCATGCTATTAGTATTAGGCAAAGAAAGTCTGATGGAGACGACATATCGGTCATAACCCCTACTTCCTCCCACTGTTCAGATACTTCACCGCTTCCATAATTAAAGGCGAAGGGTACTAGGTAAGACGGGGAAGTCAACTGATGAAGTTGTTAACCTTAGCTGACTGAGATGGCTTGGATATGTACTCTATATGCCACTGCAAGTCTCCGCCCACCTTGGTGTGCCATAGTAGAGGAAGTTGAATTAGGTTGGGAAACGGCCAGGGTGGCCGGACCAAGACGTGACACCAGTCTATGAAGTCTCTGACTGCTGATCTGAGCGACGTGGTGAGATGTAGACTGCCGATCTGGGGTCTCTAAGACAAAAGGGACCAGTGCTTGAAGACACTTGTCAACATGGCTGGAAATTAGTCACAATGGTGCAGATGCAATCACTCCTTAATGTTTTCTAAAGTCTAAACGTCTCCAGTAACGCTATTATTCAAATTATATATTCTGTCAGGCAACTTTTTATACTTTGATATTACTGTTATTCTATCCATCTGTTCTTTGTATACTACTGTGCAGTGTGGCATCCTGAACCGATTGACTTGTGAGTGAGGTTCTACGTTGATTTTGTCTGTCTGTGTCCTTAACTAAGTGTTTAGTAAACCTTGAGTGTCTACCAAAGGTCGTCTGCCCATCAGTGTGCTCCAAATATACTCACTTCGGCTACAAACTTTTTACCTTCTCATGACTGATAACATTCCGGGCTCATACCAAGTCCCTTTAAGGGGATTCAATGAAAACTATTTTCTACTCTTCATAAATGGCTTGCTTCGATACATATTTACTAAAGTTCTAATGAAGTGTGATCTGTAGGCCAACTTAGTCGAGTGTGAGCACATGTACTCACTAGTAACATTCGATAGTGGTAGCAGCACATAAAAAATTGACCGAAATAGGAACTAGAGGACCATACCATCCCACCCTCATAAATGAATGATGGTATGCTTGCCACGAAAACTTGAAACACTGGGTTCGACTCCCATTGGAATCATGTCTGCTTATTGCTGAGGAGATCCGGATTAGTGTGAAACAGCTGTTCAATATTTCTTCAAATTTTAAGTAACTCTCCAACAGATGTAAGTCCGTGATGGAAACCATATTGAGTAACCGAGTGCTGTTACGATAGCAACAGTTGTGAGTCTATCAATTTTATGCGGAAGAAAACTGAAATCGCTTCTGCACACATTTATGTTCAAAGATAGCAGTTAACATATATACAACATCTATGAGAAAGTTTTCTCAGTAGCATATATTACGCTATTCAGAGTCATGGATACTTAACAATTAACAAGTCCAAAATAGGACTAAATGGGCTTCCTGAGTTCCAGTGTTAGAAATCACCAAGTAAATTATAACGTAGTGGATCTTTGGCAAGTACCGAAGCCTCCATATGAGAGCTCATGTGCCAACATAAGTCGATTATTTCGACCCCTTCATGACAACTAGAAACCACAGGTATTAATAAAATTAATTATAAACTGTTGTAATACATAATACATTAATAATCAATAATAATTAGCCTATTACAAGTGACATCCAAAAGTTATTTGGTTCATTTCGGTCCAAACAGCCATAGAGTAGTGGAGAGGGGTGTGATGGATATGTTGGCGCCCAGTCAGCGATTTCCGACATAACACCTTGACGTATAGCTTCCTCTTCTAAAAGATGAATGAAAAAAATAAGGGAAATTATTTTATGAGGAGTTTTCATGCTATTTTCCCTGTAATTTTAGTTATAGAACAATAAGATAATTCAACAAAATCGTGTTACAAGGAGCTGTGACCACTAATCTAGCGAAACTGCTCGATATGAACGTTTCTACCAGACAAAGATTCGAGACTGAAATCAACTGAATCCCCATTCCCACATCTTTACGGTTTGCCCAAAGTATACAAATCCAACAACCCCTTACATTCCATACTGTCAATGTGCAAGTCGCCAACTCATAAGCTTGTCAAGTGGCTAGTAGATCCTACTAAGAAGCAATTCTGTACCTATTCCTTAAAAGACCCATTTGAAATAATCAAATGCCTTGAGGATGTCAACATAAGCAAATTTACGTGTTCATTTGACGTTAATTCATTATTCACCGATGTCCCTTTGGTCAAGATGATTGACATATTATGTAATTATATTTTTGTGCATAATTTTTCAATACCCATTTCTTTGAAACACTTAAAAGAGGTGCTACTTTTGTGTACAAGTAACATCAAATTCACATTTTAGGGCGAACATTTCTGCCAAATTGGTGGGGTTGCAATGCAAAGTCCTTTAGGTCCCCTCCTAGATGACATATTTATGTCACACCTAATAGACACAGCCCATCTGTATTGAAGATATGTTGACGATATCCTGATCATTTGTGAAAACTCAAATCAGTCTACTTCTGTTCTAAGCCAATTGAACTAAGTACAGAACATCATATCCTTGACATGCGTAGGAGAGGAAGATGACTGCTTGTCATTCTTGGATATATTAATTAGTCAAAGGCAGGATGGATCCATAAAACGACCTATCTACAGAAAACCTACATGTAAAGGGCAGTATTTGAACTATCATAGCTTTTGTCCAGTTCAGTACAAGTGAGCGTTATTTAGGTGCTTAATCAGTAGAATTTGGCGAATATTCACAGAGGATATTTTAAAAGATGAAAGAGGAACACTGACTGATATATTGTTGGAAAATAACCATTCATCAAAATTTATAAGGCAGCACAAAACAATCACAGCGCCAAAACCAGATCTTCAGCTTGTCCCAAAGAAGGATATCTTTATCAGTCTTCCGTATAAAGGTGACTCTCATAGAGTAATCCCTGAGCAGAGACTTAACGCTGCTGTTAGAAGGACTTACTATGCAGCCAGAGTGTAATTAATAAAAACCATCAAGCCCGTATATTCCCCCAAACCCCTACAGCATACAAACGACAATGTCACATTCCATTGTATCTGCCAATTCAAATGTACGTATGGTGACACATACATAGAGAAAACTCATAGATCCATGCAAGTAAGGGCCTCGGAACAAATTCCAAAGTGGCTTCACAAGCAAATTAAGTCACCTGAACCCATAAACGTTAGTTGCAGACGTCCAAGTTCTTCGATCGTCAAACATATCGTTGAGATAAGTCACAGGATTGATGTGGCTACTTTCTTTACACCTATTTATAAAACGTGTTGGGGACGAATCCTTAAATTTGTTGAGGCCTTAGCTGTTAGAAAGTTGAAACCACCTTGTGTATTCATAAACAATTTGTTGTCACATTAAATCTTCCTTGGAAAATTCAACAATGAAAACCAAGTTCGATGTACTACTATTTTCGCTTTATTCGTTTTTATTGTTATTCGGCCTTTACTCAGCCTTCCTACTTTACATCATTTTATTTTCTCACCCCTTATCTTCATGAATTTGCATATAAATACCTATGACAAGTACATGTGTGATCAGATAGTTCGAAATGTGTTTCACAAATGCACTACACAGTTCAAGCAATTTACGTCTTATTGTCTTGTCAAAAATCTTATGCCTTTTTAAAGTTATTAAATGATCGGGAAATATTATTTTGGTGTAAGAAAAGTGTGGCCACAGAGAAATTGACTTTTGAGTGAGGTAATAAATAATGATGGAAATTTCCACAACATACTGGCGAACGTCTTCAGTGTGATTCTTTCCGATCTGAGGACAAGCTACACTGCTATATTCTGTCAAGCTTGAATTTGATTGGCTTATTGAATGTACCTACTTCTTGGTTAGTTAATGTTGTATGTTTGATAACGGAACACTAAACAGGAGTTTGCTATTCTCAGTAGAGTAAAAGCAATTACCTTTTCATATTACGTTCTGTTGTTTACTACTTGAGCATTATGTTTCGTTTCATTGCATACTGACTGGTCACTAGAGAGCAACTAATTTCATATTGTCTAGTTTTGAGAGGCCTGATAGAATTCTATCTATCATTTTTGTAATGTGGCCACCCTGCTAGGAGGCTTATCATCGCGGTGCACTTTTGATGGATGTCAGTTGGCTTAAGGCAATCGGTAGTCGGCAAACAACTCAAATAGCTCGCTGTCAGTGTTGCCGACTGTAACACTGGAGGGGGGAAAGATGGGGGTTAGAACATCTAAGGTGAAGCTAGTTCCTTTGAGGTTGCAAATACTTCTTACTGACGAGCACAAGTGGGGCTTCTTGCCGATTGCCTCGAACCGCCTAGAATACAGTGTGTGTACCAGAGTATAAATTCCATTAAGTTTGGAAATAGTTTATTATATTCGTATGTCAGAGACAACAGTACAGCATTTATACGACACTTACAAACGGTGTCGGCTAAGAGGAAAATTACCAGCTAAAAGCTAGTCATTGTTCACTGGAAAGCAAGTAATTTCATGTTGCTTAGTCCTGAGTGCTGACCGATTTCCATCTATCATTGTGCAATATGGCCACCAAGTTAGGAGACTGACTGTCGCGATGCATTTTGATGGATGTCAGTTGGTTAGAGGCAATGGGTAGGTAGTTCCGCTTGACCTAGATGTCCTGTTTGTTAACATTTGTCAGTAAGGTGTATTTGCAACCTCAAGGGAAATGATTTCCCCTATTAAGTTTGAATGTGCGTCACATAGTGTTGCAATCAGCAACGATGTTATCACTAAGCTATTTGGGAGGCGACTGACCTTTTGCGAGTCTGGATCACATGCATTGATTGGTTACTGTTGTGTAGTCCCGAGTGCTAGCTGATTTCTGTCCACCATAGTTATCTACTACCTTTTCAACTCCATTAATTAGGTACTAATTTCGTCAGATAGATTGCTCACTTCTGCTCCTTATAGATGTCTGCAATGGTATAATGGTATGGCTTGGACACTTAGTGGCTTCATCAAACTTACACTTACCACCTACAATGCATGTTTGGACAATATTAATGCATTAGTCTTCGTTGAGAAATATATTTCCTGTTTATGATTAAGATTTTGAAATTAACAAGTCAAAAAAAGACTACTTGACACTTGCCATCATCTAGTTTTTGTTTTTCTTCATCAGTCTCCGGTTGAAGACGTGCATTCATTCGCCTGATTTCCTGCCTAGCCTCTTTCTCTTTTTCATATTTTGCCAGTTTAATTTCAGCATCTTCTTCATGATCTAAACGTGATTTAATACTCATCAGTTGATATGATCGTGTTGTTTGAATATCTGATAGAGTAAAAGTTTTTGAATGATTATATTTTTCATTTTCAGATGGACATACCACCTAGAAATGATAAAGGAATGAGCATAGTTCTTTATTTGATTTAATAGTTCAATTTGCAAGCAAGAAATTAGTGACAAACAAAGTAATTTACTTGAAATAAGTTTCATTTAGAGCTATAACGGTAGTGTTGAGCAACCTCTTCGATAAATTTTTGAAACCTAAACGAAATATTGATGACTGAATGTAAACACTCTTGACACTATTCTCAAGTCAGCACAAATATCTACTCAGTCTACTTGGTGCATATCCCAACTAAGTAAACTCACCTTTCCGTCAAACCGAATCATATATAATAGGGTCACTGTAAATAAGTTCAACAATACATAGCCTTTCGTCTGTAACAAAAATCTTTTCAGTCTGATTACAATTGGTGTTTATCTCCGTAGCGTTTCATCAACAGTCAGATATACATTATTGAGTTCATAAATAGTGTAAGTTAGACAACACATGTAGTGGAAATAACCGGTCTTGGTATGCAGCTTTTCACTAAGTTGCGTGGAATATTTTCACTAAATATTTTTGGTGGTTTCTTGGAACTTCGACCGTGTTCGGCTAGACGTGTTAGTACTTGACGTGATGTCTCTCCAATGTATGTGGCATCTCATCCACTACCATCTACTTTATAAGCACAGTTCTATTAATCCGAATGCGGATTCGAACCTTTTAATTTACGTGGGTGTGAGTGTAATGTGTTCGTTACCTTAAAGAATACTCTGATATTGTAACTGTGAAATATGCGTCTTATTTTCTCTGATGTGCATGTTCGATAAAGAAGTACTGTAGTACCTATCCAATCTTTATAATTTCGCTTTCCATGTCTTTTTTCGATAAATGTTTTTCCATCCTTTTTAATAGCTTTTTCGTATAGTTGTTTTGATTTAAGACTTCCCGAACAAGTTGCCCATCTGTTTGCTGAGATTCCACTAGAAGATCTACAGGCAAAAACTAACAAGTTGACAGAAGAGGAAGGGCAGAGAAGACGGAACACCACTCAAGTGAATGTAAAAAAGACGGAGGTGATGATAATACCCGACCAACAACAGCATCAACAACAAGAGGCACCAATCACCATCAACCGGAGAAACCTAAGGGAAGTTGTCTCTTTCACATACCCAGGCAAGGCAGCATCGTTTCAACTACAGGCGGCGACACAGACCAGGATGTCAAAAGCACGATCGGAAAAGTAAGACAGGCCTTCTTTCATCAACGTGGAATCAGTGTGGAGATCTTCTGCACTGCAGTCGACATAAAGAGCCAGATCCGGATTTCCAACAAGAATGTCAGTCAAGTGAGTGCTTCTGTATGTTTCAGAAACTTGGCGTGTCACGAAAAGTACTTCCAACAAACTACAAACATTCGTCAACAGCTGTCTACTCTCTACCAGATGGCCAGAATAATGAGAATAAGCAATAAGGAACTCTGGCTGGCTGGCAACGAACCAACCAAGAATCTATCACCCAACTAATATGCAGAAGGAAGTGGAGATGGATTGGGCATACACTGAGAAAACCATTCTGGTTGTCGAGTGGAATTCAAATGGGAAACGACCAGTTGGGCGTTCCAGCTGAGGGTGAGGTTATGTGAGGATGATATGAAATCTTGTGGGCAGTCGTGTGGCGAGGTTCAACAGACTGCAGAGAACAGAGTGCAATGGAGATGTGCTACTGAAGCCGTATGTTCGACTAGGAACCTAAGGGAAAACAATAATAATAATAATTAACTTACTTTCCAATGAGTGAGCCAAATCGAAGTCAATGTACTTGTTAGAATGTGTATATTTTCGATAGACATCAATGTCAAGTGTCGCATCATTGTTTCTCATCGCCTTGCAGTTAAGGAAAGCTAGATATCTGAATTCTGTTTCTAGTTCATATGTGAATCTTATGGAATTGAAACGGCTGTTAAGATATTCGAAAAGATTTTCTAGACCTTGGTTTCTAGTTATAACCAATATTTCACCAACGTACCTCCACCTTATTCCTGGTTATTTAAGTTATTATCCGTTAGAAGTTTTGTAATTGTCTGAATGCTATTGAAGGAAGAAGGCTCAATATATTGCACCAGTCTATGAAATCTGTGACTGTTAGTTCCACCTATTTGGAGAGGTAGAGACTGCCTGTTTAGAGTCTTAGAGATCAGAAGATTCAGTGGGTGGAGACCCTTGATGACATAGCACAAGATCGATCACAATGACGCAGATCTACTGACACTTTGGATCTTCTCAGGCGTGAAAATTTTCACTAACGTTCGTTTTCGAATTCCTTTTCCTTGTACACACTTTAGTCTACTTTTATGTCACTGTTTCTCTGCTAATTGATTGTTGCATACTGTGGCAACTTAAATCAGTACAATTTTATACGAGGTTCTACTTTGTTTTTGTTTGTCCGTCGGTCTGACTTATCCAGATGGAAAAACAAGCAACGAAAAAAGCTACCTAGATGACTCAGTTATCTACACTGGTTGGTCACGAGACAGCAATCAGCAGGACGCCCTGCTAGACCTAGATTTCATGCTTGCTGGGACTTGTCAGCAAGGGGTATCTGCAACCTTGATAGAACTGGTATTCCTCCTGAGATTCGAACAAGCGTCACTCGATGTTGTTACCACTGAGCTATTCGGGCAGCAGTTGACCTCCTATAGGACTGGGTAATGTGGCAAATAAAATTCGGTCTGCACTCCGGACTATGCATATGTAACCCAATCCTCAGGCGGGATATCAGTTCCGTTGAGGTTACAGATACGCCTTGCTGATGAGTGTCAAAAAGTGTGAAATTTAGGTTAAGCACAACTTCCTGCCAATTGCCTCCAACTAATTAACATCTAACAAGATTCAGTTATCTGTTCAGCAGTGAACCACCATACAACTGAGGCTTTTTAACAAAGAACATGTAATTCAACTATGAACACGTATTGCACAATAGAATATAGCAATGCTTGGTAAAGTCATAAATGACAGCTCATAATACTCTTACTAAGTTGAGTAAGCTAAAAGATGAAGACAGATATTATAGGGAAATGTATTTCACGAACAATCCGTTCTCAGCAGTTTGGTACTGATAAATCTGCATAAGACAAGAAAACGAATTACACTACAGTATTTAAATTTTTATCCATTTAATTTTTAAGTCTGTTCTTCGCATCACTTCATTCTTATTTTTGACTTTCATTCCCACCTACTGATTATTTTTAGATTTTCTTTCCCTTTTTAACTAGATATTTTTATGACTGAGCTAATCTAACGACATAACTGTCAATAATCGTTAGCTATCTGGTCGAATACCCAATATTTTTCTGTTTTCTAAGGTGTAACTACAGTTCGGTTTTGAGGTTTGTGCGAATTTATTGATTTCATTGTGGCATCTATCAAAAACCGACATCAGTTGGGGAATCATTGAAAACCTGGGAGCACTGAACAACTGTTGTATCCTAGTATGAGACTCTTTGGAAGCCATGACATTGCCAGGGATCTAACTCAAGATCTCCAAGTTTCATGGTAAGTCAAGAAATCGGAATTAAACGGTTCACATAGTCCTAATTCTGTCGATTCACAATACAGAGCGACAGTTCGTGTGTAATTTCAACTAATAAAAACGTTTTGTTGAATATTGGCGGGTAGTCATTTCTGTTGTGATGTGAGGCAAACTGGTAAGGATATTAGGAAGTTGTCCTTAAGGATCAATAAATTTGGAATGGGGACAATAGAAGTCCACTAAAAGAGCTAAACGATTACCGATGGATATTCACTGCTGGAAAGTTAACTATCTCAAGGTTATATTTTGAAGAGTTTATTAACTTGAAAATGAATCATCTAAAGATCTAGTGATTGTGATTGATACAAACAGACAGATAGACAAACAAATTGCAAAGAAATACCTCACTCCACGTTACCATACTACGAAAAAGTGAATTGAAAAAGAATGATACCGAAGTAGACAAAAAAGTATTAGACGAAAGCGAAGGTAAATATATCAGATTAATTGTAATCAATTCCAAGTCATATTGTAGTGGGTGTCACTGATAAGAATGGATATAAGTAGTATATGGTGATATGTGGGCAAAATCATAGGTTATTAAGAGCAATGGGTGAACATTCTGAACAGAAAAACGTAGGAAATAAGGTGGACATATGGAGAGCAAAACGAGGTAGACAAAGAAGAAGACGGAATGAAACACATTGTGCAAATGAATATTTTGATGGAAAGGTTACTATAGTTTATCGATAATGTACAAAGTGTCTTTATAAAGACTCTCCTACGTTCGATCTTTTGCCGTCTGCCTCCGATATCAGTAGGAGTCTTCAATTGTTTATTCTTATCATCTCGAAGACAAGTGGATGAATGCTTAACATGAGTTAAGGTGAATAACTGATGTCTTTTTATCCATGGATCTGTATATGATAATTGATACCTGGAATGACTCAGTACAAGGTAATTTGACTAGAAGGATGAAGAAGTTCAAATGATTTAATTGTCTGTAGACATTTTTGTTTGGTGTTATTGTATTGGGTGTTGCTGATAAGAATGGATATAAGCAGTATATTTTGAGAGGGCGGCAGGAATCATAGGGAATTACCAGCAATTGGGAACAGATTCTGCTCAGAGAGATGTGAGAGACAATGTGGCCATATTGGAAGCAAATCAAGATAGAAGCAGACGAGGAAATGAAGTACATTATGCAAATGAATGTTTTGGTGGAAGGTGTACAGTATTTGATGAATACTGAACAAGACGTCCATAATAATCATCTCTTTCGTCTCCATCTTATCGTTTTCTATATCTACTATTTTCATCAGTTTTACGCTCCTTTCTGAGTTATATACATTCTATATATTACATAATCCATTTTGTTATCACTCATACTTCAACTGCTATCAAAAGTACCTTGATTGTTATACAAACTATTTGTTTATTTTGTTATTTATTTTAATATACTACGCCGGGATTACACAAGTAGAAATACACCTTATACGATGCATTATTATTATTATTTATTTATTCATTATATGTCATCTGATGTTCAAATATTCATCCTCCCAAACTAGTAGTCTATTATCACTTGACTGAGATAGCTGTAGTTTGGCAGACTAGTATTTATACTGGGTGATGACTGAATGTGAAATGAAAATTTGGACCATGGCCGGATTCGAACCAGCGACCACCACAAAATCTATTCTTTCTCACCCTTGATGACTCACAACTCCATTGTACTTTTCATTGTCGAACTAAATTTCTCCACCCTATTTTTGTTCCACTTTACTCGCACAGTTGAAAAAGCCTCTCTGATCGATTTACTTATTCACTCGCTTACATTACATTGATTTTTGTTCCATATCACGATGTATTTGGATGATCGTAAAGATCACTTTAATATTAACCTGAAAACTTTAATGTCAGATTCATACTCTTGAAAAGGATCTTCTTACCAAGACTGAAACATTGAGGAATAATACAGAATATTTATCTATTTTGTTGTTTGTTCTAATGTACTACGCCGGGATTACACAAGTAAAAATACACCTTATGCAATAATAATTTATTCCTTAAAAACTGCAGGGGAAGAAATATTCTTTTTTAACTCACCGTTATTACGCAGCCATTCTCTAAGTAAACTACAATTTCATTTGTTGCTTTACCGTTAACATAAAACCATTCTAAGCGTACAACTTTCTCATGGACATGGACAAAACCGATTGGAGATAAATGAGTAGGATATACATTGAAAAAGAAGATAGTCTCGTCTTTACTCTAAAAAAATACAAAACACAAATAACATCTTGCTGATAAATTACTATGAGTATATATACAGCTTGAAGCCTTCCTATGTTATAATTAACTTTATGAGGGTTAGCAATGGAATCAAGGATGCGTGCAGGGTTCGAGTCCCTGTGGGAACAACATCACTCACTGAGATGCAGGTACATTCAGTTGATGAATCCCAAATAGACCGAAACGCTCATCCTAGATTCCACTGCTGACCAAAAACAAACGAATAATTTTAATATGCTTGAAAAATCAAAACAAGATCTCAAGAGTTATTTCGCAGTGTCAGCAATGGCTTCTTCATCGGGAAATACTAAAATTTTATTAGTAACTAAAAAGCAAAATTAAATAGTTCTGTAAACAAACTCGTTGACAGGTCATCAATTGAATAAATTTCTGCCATTATTCAAAGAGACCTCATAGGTTATAGTATAGCCACTATTGTACTATCAGTATTCTTTATAAACGTTTATTACAATATCAAAGTGTAGGTAAACATGCATGTATGCATGTGTGTAAGCATGTTACTAAGTTTGTTGTTTCCTTACATATCCTGTTTCAGGGTACTGAGATAAATCTATTTATTAATGATCTTGAAATACCTACCAGCTACAATTAACGGACCTCGGTAAAAAGTTGAATCTAAACTTCTAGCTTTCAGTGATTTTACTATAATTATTATTTTACCATATAAGTACATCATATCTCATGGGTCAGTGACAAACGAAATCTTAGTGTGGATACATTAGGGTTGATTGACCCTCTCTAACTTACACCATCTATGGGACCGGTAAGATATCTGGTTACCAACTCCAGAGTAGGTGATGTTAGAGGCAACTTTGGGAACTGCTGAAATAATCAATCAGGTTTCTCTATTCCAGCTAGGGAAATAGTTTTTCGTAAAATAAGGAAAAGTAGTTGGTTATCTCAGCAACTGCTAGAGTGGCCATTGAAGCCACTCCTCCTGAGCTGTACATCTGGACAACACTTCACTCTGTTTTACTTTATGGTTGCGAAACATGCCTAACAAATGTGGAGGATATGAGAAGGCTGGAAGTGTTCAACCACTGTCATCCCTGTTACAAAACCCATCTATCATAGAGCTCTAAACAAGTAACCTAGAGGTTAGGAGTACAGATTTAGGTAAAATGGGTTAACTGGTTGATGAGATTATAGAGCTGTTCTGATTCAAGTGCCTCACGCATGCCTAGTCACCGTCCAACCCCCAGACCAATATTAGCTAAATTACGATACGCAGGACTGAAAGATGACATCAGTCTCTGATTGCTAGTTTGGGTGGGCTATGTAAGGAAACACAGACTTCCCAGTTAAGTTCCATATGAAAATCAATATTGGTGATTGATGACTTCAGGTGGTTCGGCTCACTATCGATTTCAGTGTTACAGATACATCCACATATTGCTTTCATGGAGCGTGTTGTATAGAATTTTGTGAATTTTTTACCCTATGTTACTCTCTCCGCATAACTTTATGTTTTTCTTCTTATTTCTATCTTTCATCTGTGTGTCATATCTTGATGAAGAATGATAACTTGGGCCGTTACACAGTAATGTCAGGTCTCATCTTCGCACCGATTGACTTGTGGCTAGAATACAATACGGCTCCTGAGTTCCATCTTCCTAAATGTGAATGGAAACGTATTTATAATACATATAAATTACCAAAACTGATTGTGCTTCCACTTTCAGTCACAAGTATAGCTGGTATGGATCGCTCTCCTAAATTTTTAATTTCATTTTCATTGTTTGACTTACACAAACTACTCCGCAGAGCTATGGGCCATTGGTTTAGGTGGCTGACTTTCAACCGATGTCTAACGGATTCGAATCCCGCTCCAACTATCGAAATTTGGGCAGTCAGCCAGTAGCGTTAGTTCTCACACAATGGGTGTGGCTCGTTGCCTACTTTAGGAACATGTATAAAGTTGATGAGTGTGTTTCTCTGTCTCTTCCACAAGTTTCTCGAACATCACCGGCGATATATTTGAAACATGCAGTCACTTGATAGCAGTTGTTTTCTTACTACTTAGAAGGTTGAATCCTTCACTTTAAACAAGGTCTTTTCCGGGGAATTCGAAGGTTTGAAATGCTACTTAAGGTCATGAGATAGAAGTGAACTTTTAAGAGGACATCAATACACTGTATTATGGCTCCTGAAATACTCAGCTGAGATTGTGGACCTTCATGCTGGCTGCACGAACCACCACCAGTGCCAAGCTTATGCATGTTTTTCCTTTCATTGCTCCCTTCACATCGGACGACGGCCTTATAAAAGCTGGTTATTTCCTACTATTGCATGCAGTACCATCACTATTGACATTAATAAGATGCTGTAACTGTTCCTTGTAAAAATATTATACAAAGAGTAAATTTTTCGAGGTGATAAATGATGAGTACTTCATACCACATCAAGCATACTGTCTGAAATAAAATGAGTATTGTAATAGTTACCGGGAAAACAGCGCTGGGGGATCTCTTCATCCAGTTCATAAAACATCAGAAAATTATTTAATATACTGTCCTAAGGTAATCAGTTGAACATACAGGATGCGTAACAGTACTCATACCCAGTTAATCTCCTCATGACATTAAAATTCATGAGCTTTATAACATGAATGATGCTGTAACTTATCAAAGGTTCTTCTTATCCGGCTTACAAATGCGGGCACATAAGCAATACTAACTTGTATGGTGCGAAGAAATGCTTCTAATTGAATTGGTCACTCTCCCTGCATGATTCTAATCAACAACTTGAAAAACATTCTTTCGCATTACTCAGAATTGCACTAAAAGCTATTTTGACTACTTTTTTTGCCATTGCACAGTCAAAATGACTGTTCAAATAACTTCCGACTGCTTCTACGGTCTTCAGAAAAACTAGCTTTCTCATCCCCTCCTTCACTGTAGAATAAGCAAATCAAGAGGATTTCTTGAGAATAAATTTTACTTCACAATCACTTACTGTGTAATTTAGCCTACCAGAGGTGCAAACTAAAATATCAAAATGGTTGAAAAATACTTGTCTTTACCCTAATATTTTTAACTACTTAAAAAATAATAAGTAGTTAAATGTTATCACAGCGTCTCCTGGTTAACTAGTTCACTAGTTACTAGCCGGTCCTAAGCCCGGGTAAAGAAAGAAGGATGGGCATACCGCTAGCAACCCTACCCCAGAAAACTAATCCAATCATTAAAGGAATTTTAAGGCTCAGATTGCAAAGGAGATGAGGAGGTATCGCATAAAAGTGCTAGGAAACTACGAAAGCAGGTAGAGTGGAAGTGGACCCTCGAAACTGTCAACTGGAGAGTCAATCATCCACTCCGATATTGTCACCCAGACGACAACCACGAACACACTGAATTTCAGAGTGGCTACCATGATGTCCCCAACAGCATCGAAGACTCCCTCTCATTCAGTGGGAACCAATCTCCTCCAGGATCATGACTCCAGGGTTCAACTCAAAAGGAAGGAAAGTCACAATCATTCAATGCTACGCACCCACAAATAATGCAGATGAAGAGAAGATGGAGGAATTCTACAGACAACTTCAATCAACACTGGACATGATCTCAGTTGGCGATGGCGACATCAAAATTCATTCTGATGCGTGGGGTGACATGAATGCCAAACTGGGAGGGGACAACACAGGAAGAGAACAAACCATGGGTTGAGAAGCGCTCGGTGAGGTGATGAACGAGAATGGAGAACTGTTTGCAGAATTCTGTGCATTCAACGGTTTGGTGATTGGAGGCAGTGTGTTCAAGCATAAGGATATCCACAAAGTGACATGGATTTGATTTCACCAGAAACCAGGACACACTAAAAATCAGATCGACTTCATCTAAATCTCACGAAAGTGGAGATGCAGCCAGCCTACTTGACACGGTGTCAAGAAGAGGTGCAAATTTAGGCTCAGACCACTATCTAGTGCAAGGAGCCCAACTTTAAAATCAAGTTGAAAGCCTTCAAGTAAGTTGGTGATAGACCACAGTTGAAGTTCAACACCCAGCACATAAAGTGAAGGATGAAACTACAATGGACATCTTCACGTCAGCCATCAAGACAAAATGGGAGATATCCAGGAATATTCCTGTAGAAACCTGTGTGGATGAACACTGGAAGTCTTTGAAAGAGATGTGGAAAGAAACCTGCATAACTGTACTAGGAGGGAAGAAGAAATAAGATAAGGAATGGATGTTTACGGATACATGTAAGCTGATAGAGCAGGGAGAGGAGGATGGTGAAGCAGAAGATAAACCAGTGCAAAGGTGCACAATAAAAAGAGGAACTGCATACAAAGTATAAAACACTACACTGGTCAAAGAAGTGAAGAGGGGTGCCCACGAAGACAAAAGACACTTCTATGAAGCGCTAGCAAGTGAAGCAGAACAGGCTGCTGGTATTAGCGATAGAAACTTGACAACATTGTATCAAATAACCAGGTTACTTTCTGGGAGGATAGAGACCAACACAGATGAAATCAATGAGAGATAGTGAAGTAAACTTAGTTACCAAAGAAGAGAAACAAAGGAAATGATGGGCTGACCACTTTGAAAAGCTGTTTAATCCACCACCATCTGCATTCCGCCCAGAAATACCACCTGCCACCCAGCCACAGAACTATCGGTGAACACAAGCCCTCCGACGAAAGTCGAAGTCCTGAAACCCATAAAGGTACTGAAGTGCGGGTTATATGCAGGACCAGATGGGATCCCGCCAGAAGCGCTAAGAACAGATGCAGGGAAAACAGTGGACATACTCACACCACTATTGCAGAAGGTCTGAAGCGAAAGAAGGAAGGTACCTGGTGATTGGAAGAAGGATTACCTTGTCAAACTGCCGAAGAAGGGAGACCTCAGTGTTTGCAAGAACTGACGTTGAATCATGCTCCACCCCTGTCCACCGCAAGCAAAATATTAGGCCACATCATCCTGGAGAGACTAAATGATGCACTGGATTCAAAATTACCACCGGAACAGGCTGGCTGGCTAGAAGTACAAATCATGAGCAGACCAAATTGCAACACTACGCATCATCATAGAACAGAGTATAGCGGTCAACTCAGCTCAACTCTTCCTCAGTTTCATCGGCTATGAAAAGGCCTTCGATAGCGTCCACCGAGAAGTAATTTGGAGACTGCTCCAACACTACGGAATACCACAAACCTTTATCAATCTCATTCCACAACTATATGAAGATGCCACATGCCAAGTAATTCATAGTGGGAAGCTCAGCGATGCCTTTGAAGTAAAGACAGAAGACAGGACTAAGACAAGGCCGCCACCCAGCATCACCCATGAAATTCCTGATTGTGGTCGAGTGGACTGGATCATACAGCAAACTGTGAGGAACGAGAAGATGGGCATACGCTGGACCGCGAAAGAACCTAGAAGATTTAGATTTCGCAGATGTCTAATGTCACACAAACTTAAAGATCTATAGGCGAAAACTAACAAGTTAACAGAAGAGGCAGCGAAGACTGGACTTCCTTCAGGTTAACATAGAGAGGACAGAGGTGATGAAGATACCCAACCAACGATAAAAACAACAACACACTCCAATCATCATCAACGGCAGATACGCAGAGGAAACAGCCTATTTCACCTATCTAGGCAGCAATGTTTCAACTACAGGTGGTACAGGCACAGACGAGGACGTCAAAGCCAGCCAGGATCGCAAAAGCAAGACAGGCGTTGATTAACCTGAAACCAGTATGGAGATCTTCTGCACTCAGCATAAAGCGTGGAGAAGATCCAGATTTTCTACACCAATGTCAAGTGAGTGCTGCTTTATGGTTCACAGACTTGGCATGTCACGAAAAGCATTTCCAACAAACTACAGACATTCATCAACAACTGCCTTCCCCAGCTCGACACTGAAGCTCAGATGGCCAGAATAATAAGAATAAGCAACAAGGAACTCTGGCTAGCTGACCGCGCAACAAACCAACCAAGAGCCTATCGCTCAACAAATATGCTCTTCTCTGAAATCCTTTCAACCTGTCTCCACCACTGTCCACAAGCTCTCATTTCTTCCTCACACGACGGCCTACCATCCTGCAACCAATCTCAAAATATCATAACCATCAGGATCACCAGAAAAGCCAGCTATACGATTAAGGGTGACCATACATGTGACTTCAGCCAGACATTCATGAGCGTCACTAATTACATGATGAGACATTTGGTTGCCGTTAGAGAGTCTTAGTTGCTTCAGCTACATCTTTTACTATTACCAGTATTACCACTTCTTCTACTTATGCCAATCTAGTACTCTCAACAGAAACAAAGATAATAATATTAGTTAGAGCATACTTCAGGATACTGATAGTATACATCAATAATGATACTGCTGGTTTCACGTTCACGAAAACCATGTGAATGATCATCAGTAAATAAATCTCAAACCCATCCTTCAAATTATTATTATCATTATTTGTCATTTGGGCTCCTAGTGGAACATAGAGCTTCACTAGCACGTCTCCATTTCACTCTCTTCTCTGAAATCTTTTCAACCTGGCTCCACCACTGTCCACAAGCTCTCATTTCTTCCTGACAACATCTCTTTCATGTCACCCTCAACTAAGACGCCCAACTCGTCGTTTCCCATCCGGGTTCCACTCGACAGCCTGACCTGGCCTGGCGCAATATGTCCCGAATAGTCTTTTCAGTGCATGCCCAATCCATCTTCACTTCCTTCCAGTGCATATTTGTTGAGCGGTAGGCTCTTGGTTGGTTTGTTGCGCGGTCAGCTAGCCAGAGTTCCTTGTTGCTTATTCTTATTATTCTGGCCATCTGAGCTTCAGTGTCGAGCTGGGGAAGGCAGTTGTTGATGAATGTCTGTAGTTTGTTGGAAATGCTTTTCGTGACATGCCAAGTCTGTGAACCATAAAGCAGCACTCACTTGACATTGGTGTAGAAAATCTGGATCTTCTCCACGCTTTATGCTGAGTGCAGAAGATCTCCATACTGGTTTCAGGTTAATCAACGCCTGTCTTGCTTTTGCGATCCTGGCTGGCTTTGACGTCCTCGTCTGCGCCGGCAACTTCATAAAGAAGTTAGTGTTGAAGATATCACTAAGTCTAGTGATAAAACGTTAACGAAAAAATATCAAAGCTAAGCGAACACTAAATCACCATCATCCTCATCTTGAGTTACAAATCTTTTCCATCATTTCTGGAAAAAAAATTAAATAAATTTAAAGGTGAATGTGGATTTTAATTTAGGGGTAGTATTCATCACAGAATTACATTAGTTGGAGAACTTTTGAAGATCCGAGAGCACTGGACAGCTGTTTCGTCCTAATATGGAAATCCTCTGCGGGACACACCCACAACCCGGCTAGGGATCTAACCTAGGACGTTTAGGTTTCATGTTAGACGCACTAACTAATCAGCCATTGGGTCGCTTTACACTGGTTCACAGTTTCCAACTTCCATCAATTCACCATACAGAGCGACCATCACCCAAGGTCTTCAGATGGTATCCGCTTCCCTTTCGACTATGGGGTCAACAAGTATATAGTGCTTATTAGTGACATACTTCCAGATGGATATCACAAAGCTTTAATGAGAAGCCGTGATTTTAGGGTCAACCAGTTGGAAGGGAAGCGGATACCATCTGAAAACCTTGGGTGATAGTCGCTCTGTATGGTGAATTGACAGAAGTTGGAAACTGTGAACCACTGTAAACCGACCAAATGACTGAATAGTTAACGTGATCGCCATGAAACCTGAACGTCCTGAGTTCATCCCCTAGCCGAGTTGTGGGTACGTCCTGTGGAGGAGTCCCGTACTAGGACGAAACGGCTATCCGGTGTTCCCATATATTCAATGGTTCCCCAAATGATATCAATCCATGATGAATACTACTTCTTAAATGAATTTTGGTTCAAATATGCTGCTGATTCTAAGAATCTTGTAGTTCTAAGTAACAAATTTTCAAGGAAATCAAAGTCTTGCAAAAAAGGTCATCTAAATAACCATAATGATACATATGAAATGATGTAACAGTACTCAAAAGATAAATAGTTCTTGCACTGATTAAATGATTTTTTTATTGGATAAAATGTCAAATAAAAACTGCTTACACCAGTTATAAACATTTTTCCTGAAGGACTATAAATCATCGATGTAATTGCCATTTTATGCGGTTTGAGTGCTTGTCCAAGATCTAACAAAGCAGAACTTTTTGTTCTTCTTGTCAATTCTTCAGGATTTTTACCAAATTTTAGCACACGTAGAACACCATCTTGATGTCCAACAACTAAAAGTTTCCCTTTCGGATCAACCTTAAATAGAAAGAGACAAAAATGGAAATGGAGCCTGACACATAATTCCATCAGTTCGACTTGCCATACTTCAAAGTAGTATATAAAGAAGAAGTGCCTAAAAAGGATTGATATCAAAGTAAATAAAGTTGTATGAGCAAATAAACAATTTGAAGGTAAAGGTAAGTGCAGATATTCAAGCTTCAGAAAACGTCGAGGAATAGGTATATCTGTGCTACTGCTACCAATTTTCAGCCATGTCACAAAGAATCCTCGACCACTGATTCTTTTCTGCACGGGGACCTAAACTAGGCAGTCCACATTTCCTTACATGGCTCAGACCAACAGCAAGAGACTTCATGAACTGGTTTCATGTCTTAATCTGGCGGCTATAGACCCTCTTCTCACCTAATCCAACTTCCCCACGTAGAGGTGGGTGGTGGTTCGGCATGTGCAAAACATGCCAAGGTCACCTTGTCAATCGCTGAAGATTGACAACTTCATCAACCGTCTTCCGCCTAGTACCATTTGTCCTGCTTGAATTCTATGTACGTGGGAAAACTAAAGTTCAGTTCGAATTAATCGTTTGGAGCGTTCCTTGATTATAACAGAAACATGACTATCAGCTTTCAAGCCGTAATTTAGCTGTTCTCATGAAAATTCGACAAAACATAAATAAGAAAATGATTTTTTTCCTTACAGTTATCAAACGTTATATACTTTTGTTATCATTTAATAAAATTAAATGAAGACAAGAATACAGGAATGGGAGTCAGTTATACAGCATTCGTCAATGTACGCTTATATACAATACACAAAAAGATTAGCTGTGATCAACAATCTATTCATAAGACTTGACTCATATTATACACGATTGTATTTACAATCCCTGTTTCTGAACATGAAGACAGTTAAGAGTGGGTAACTATATATATTATTATTATATTTATTTTTCCCTTGGGTTCCTAGTCGAACATATGGCTTCAGTAGCACATCTCCATTGCACTCTGTTCTCTGCAGTCTGTTGAACCTCGCCACACGACTGCCCACAAGATTTCATATCATCCTCACATAACCTCACCTCAGCTGGAACGCCCAACTGGTCGTTTCCCATTTGAATTCCACTCGACAACCAGAATGGTTTTCTCAGTGTATGCCCAATCCATCTCCACTTCCTTCTGCATATTAGTTGGGTGATAGATTCTTGGTTGGTTCGTTGCCAGCCAGCCAGAGTTCCTTATTGCTTATTCTCATTATTCTGGCCATCTGGTAGAGAGTAGACAGCTGTTGACGAATGTTTGTAGTTTGTTGGAAGTACTTTTCGTGACACGCCAAGTTTCTGAAACATACAGAAGCACTCACTTGACTGACATTCTTGTTGGAAATCCGGATCTGGCTCTTTATGTCGACTGCAGTGCAGAAGATCTCCACACTGATTCCACGTTGATGAAAGAAGGCCTGTCTTACTTTTCCGATCGTGCTTTTGACATCCTGGTCTGTGTCGCCGCCTGTAGTTGAAACGATGCTGCCTTGCCTGGGTATGTGAAAGAGACAACTTCCCTTAGGTTTCTCCGGTTGATGGTGATTGGTGCCTCTTGTTGTTGATGCTGTTGTTGGTCGGGTATTATCATCACCTCCGTCTTTTTTACATTCACTTGAGTGGTGTTCCGTCTTCTCTGCCCTTCCTCTTCTGTCAACTTGTTAGTTTTCGTCCGTGGGTCTTCAAGTTTGTGCGACGTTAAACATAAACCATCGACGAAATCCAAATCTTCTAGAATCTTCTCATCGGTCCAGTTAGCGTATGCCCATCTTCTCACACTTCATGGTTCGCTACATGATCCAGTCGACCACAATCAGGAAGACCATGGGTGATAGTAGACAGCCTTGTCTTACTTCTCTCTTGACTTCACTTCAAAGTCGCCAGTCAGCTTTCCACTGTGAATCACTTGGCACGTGGCGTCATCATATAGCTATTGAATGGGGTCGATATAGATTTATAGCACTAAAACAGTAGTATTTAAGCAGCTGCCTACCGAATTACTTCTAGGTTGACGCTGTCGAAGGCCTTTTCAGAGTCGATAAAGTTGAGGTAGAGAGTTGACTGCCATTCTGTACTCTGTTATGTGATGATGCGTTGTGTTGCAATTTGATCAGCACATGATTTATTCTTCCTGAAGGCAGCCAGCCAGCCTGTTATTTTGAATCCAATGCATCCTTTAGTCTCTCCAGGATGATTCGGTATAATATTTTGCTTGAGGTGGACAGTAGCATGATTCCACACCAGAAGAGTGGATGACTAAAATTTGGAAATTATGTAAACCATCCAAACATTTGTCTAATTTCATTCTACAGTGGGATAGGTTTTTGTGTGTTGTGGATAATTTGCACTACAGCCAATGGAACTTAACTTTCTAATGTTCATAATAAAGCAATGCCCAATCTACATTCACAGCACTCACATAATACAAAAATCATTTGAATGAACAAAGGATACACTTTCGATAACTTCTTTTTTTTCTTCAAGTTCAACAGTTATATGTCTATATTGTGTAATTTTGCATCAATAATACTGAGTATTCGTTTAATAGTTTGTTAAAAGTCTTGTGTGTAACGTGAACATGAATGTCAGAATCAATTATTACTGAAGTAAAATTCAAGATAATTCATTATCTAAACAATTCTACCGCTTGTGTAAGGTAAAAGTGGGATGCGATAAACAAAGATAAGTAATTCTAGGAGTAATAACTTCATAGAATGTAACTCATGTTGAGAGTTAAGAGAATGTGACAGAACTATTTTAGATCGTAACAGTGAGTGGATTTCTATAGTATGGAGCTTGAAAATGGGGTTACATGGGATAAGATGCTAAAGAATGTGTTAGTCCCTAATGAGACCAAGATAGTCGAAGCGACAACACCTGCTTCTTTGAACATATAACTCGAGTTATTTAGTTCCGTTTCCCACTGGTTCTACAGTCTAATGGATTCACAGCCGAGTGCTCTTTGGCAACCTGATAGGAACCCAGCAAATAACTTATATTCACCATATGGTTCATTTGAACTAAGTGCATCAGTTTAGAGCTGTTAGTGGTTTGTATCACACCTTTGCTCAACCATGCTAGGAGGTGTTTGTGCTTTCGGGAAATTAAATCCTTGAAGTAGCCGCTGACGTAACTGACTCCACAGGAACAGTCAAACTGGTTAATACAATAGGAAGTTATCAGTCTAGGGCAATTCATCTTTATGTCTCGGTGTCACCATTGGGCGTATGAAGATCGTAATTTGTAATCCATAAGTATTAAAGGTTCTTTAAATTAATTTCTGTAGTTTATGAACCAATATCCCGCTAGGGATATAACCTCCAAATTTTATCCAAACATGCAGCGTTTTCTTGTTCGCCATTGGAATGTCTCTTCCTCATATTTTAATAATGATATGTTTCTTTATGAACTTAACAAAACAATCATTTCGGATTATTGTGTTGCGTAGAATTTTCGTCTTCTCAACTCATGTTAACTTCATAACTTGAGAAAAAAGATATTTATTTATTTAACTGTATCCTTCAAACATAAAGCATTAATTCGGTAATTTATGGTCTTTATAGAATTTCGTTTGGACTGAAGGGGGACGAAGCTTTTCCTGGACAGCTTAATTTCATCGATCTGTTCGTTCGTATAGAAAGAATATCAACAAAAGTTATTTTGGCTTCTTACTCTTCCTTATGTGTAACTTTCACTGCTAGGCGTAGTGCATTGAATCTGCTAAGTATCTTTGACCTATTCGCGTTATTTTCTCACAGGATGCACGAATCATCGCTATATCGACATTAAAACGAAAATTCTCTGACTGATTGTAAAAGTAGACCATCCTCTAGTTTAGAAAGATAAATCTCCTCTGATATGGGGCTCAATTGTAACCTCCTAATACTGTAGTGTGCAAACATTTGCTGATATTCTCGAAAAGTAGTCAATATTCTATGGTTATTCAAAAATATTTCAGTTATAGTTCATCATTTCCTTTCAACTGGTTCACTTGGATTTTTCCAGTCATGAAAGAAGACAGGATTATTTCTTACAATCACCTAGTCATAATAATCTTTCAAAGGAAAACTTTACTTACCTGTGGAGGACTCCAAACTAGTGATGAACCGCTAGACGGGAATCGTCGTTCAACGATAACTTGTTTCTGAACAATATCGTAGATGCAAACTTTTCCTGAAATTAAAATATAAAAAAACAGTGGTAGAAATAAAAATAAAAGTGAAAATAATTTACCGAATAACAGTTATAACAAATTGTTCCAATGACTTCAACACGTTTACTTCCTAAAGGAATAAAACAAGCGCTACATATGGCTTACTACTGATCTGTAGATGTTTACGTCACGCTGATTAAATTCAGATACTATTAGAGGAGGACTGGACATCATTTAAGAGATTAGACTGTAATATGTAAATTACATTTCGTTCTAAAAGTCGAAGAAGATACAATGAATACTTTATTACCACGCTATGACATAAAAAAATGAGACTCTGTCAGGAAAGGATGGAAATAAAGGATGTGTACTTCATGAGGAAATTATCGCAAGTAAGAAGAATGAACCTTACACTTTTCTGTAAAGAATGATATTTCATCACAGTCAATAATAAGTTTTGAACTTCCCTTATCTGTAATTTACTTGGTTGTGGCTGGCAGAATAATCCAGGATGCACATTTCATCCTACTTGGGACTCGTCAGCTGGATTGGCCTGCCAATAAAGCCATATGACAACAGAAGTCTAACAATTAGATCCAGTAAAACAACGGAAAATTACAAGAACATCAACAAAACGCTATTCCCTGCCTGTGGCTTTATAAATTTACTCCTATATGAATACTTAAGCAAATGACTGGCCAACTTTACTGATATTCCCAGTCTATAAGTAAGAAGAGAAGGTTTCCTGTGATGAATACTTCCTCAAAATCAAAATCCCCATTCATCTCAGAGATACATTACTGTATAGTGCTCATTAGTGACATAATTCCAGAGGAATATCACGAAGTTCTAATAGGAAACCGTGACCTCTGGAGTCAACCAGTTGGAATGGAAGCGAAAACCACCTGAAGACCTTGGATAGTAGTCGCTCTATATTATGAATTGACAGGAGTTGGAAATATAGACCACTGGATTCCAACCCAGTGGGCCAATGGTAACTTTCCGGCCACGGAACTTGAAGGTTCTGGGTTCGATCCCAGGGAGTGTCGTGGGTGCGCACTGCTGAGGAGTCCCATGCTAGGAAAAACGACTGTCCAGTGCTCCCAAGTTTCCAATGTTTCTCCAGTCCATGATGAATACTCTCTCATTAAGGAATGAGTTTGATTAATATTGTGTCCAAGATCCTATAGTCAATAACTCAAACGTGTAACTGGAGCTGCAGAACAGCAAACTCTACAAAATCAAGCAAGTTTCAGACCTGTACGAGGGTGAGTCGACCAGATTTTTACTCGGAGCAAATATACGTAGGGAACAAAGAGATCTCTACTCTTCGTTTTAAATGTATCTCAAGAAAAATCACAAACTACAAGTTTGAACCTTTTCCTCCGTTTACTGGTCAGCCATCTAAAAAACGTTAAGACAAAAATCTTTTGAATTGATGAACAAGAGTATTTGACTATCATTCACATATACCACTAGCAGCTTTTAGTAGTTAAGTCACAGTAATCTGCCATATCAGTCAACTAAAGCGAGTTTGGCCAATATTGGGTAAAAACAGATTTACTTTGATATTTGAATGCACCAACTTCATATGTCTAAACTGCTAAATCACAGTGACTTGAAACACTGAAAGTGTTTACATTATTAAACAGGAATTCTTGATCGACTACGTGATCCAGATATTACCGAAATGTCATACTCATTGTTAGCATGATAAACACTAGGCACTTTAGTCTAACGACAGCATTAGATGGAAGTCATGGTATATCGTGAATTGATGAAAGTAGAAAAACATTGACTATTGGAATCCAACCCAATGGCTATATTGTATCAGGCTTAGTGCGAAACCCAAAGTTCCTGGACCTCATCCCTAGCACACTCGTGGGTGCGCACGGTTGAGCAGTCTCATGCAGGGATGGAACAGCTGGCCAGTGGTCCCAGGCCTTCTATGGTACTCCAACTGATATTAGTTTGTGATGCATGCCAACTTGAAATCAATAAATACTCACAAACCTCCAAAATTAAATCCAAATCATTCCTTCAAAAAGAAAACAGCAGATTTACTAAAAGATTCGAAAGGCGAGTTTTAATGTTTGTTAGGCTCGGACATAGAGACACTTTTTTAGGTTATACTTACCACTTGAATTAGTTTCAAAATCAAATTGGATTCCACTTAGACACTTGAATTATATTCCCCACAAATGGAATATTAAATTTACGAAGCTTCGGTATGTCAGGTTTTATATAATTCCTATAGAAATTTACACAGCAAGCATTGATGGTAATCTTTAAACAAAAATACACTAGTTTACTTGTTGATGGCTAGTGGTGGAATCCAGGACGTGCCTTTCGTCCTATCTGGAACTCGTCAGCTGAACCCCAGTGAGTGGTGATTTTCATACCATGAAGTAAATTATAACAATGAACATTTTGGGAATATCGAAGCCTACATGATAACAGAGATCGATCAGTTCGATCCAGTAGAGCGACGAAGAATTGCAGGGATATCAAAAAACAGTAATAACTAATACTCGTTGTACAAGATGTGGCGATCATGCCACAGTGGCCTAGTGGATAAAGCTTTGACGTTTGAAACGATGGGTAAGAGGTTTAAGCTTCAGTGGGAGCAACATCACTCACTGGGGTGCAGATGCATCTAGGCGACGAGTCCCAAACAAGAGAAAATATACTTCGTAACAATGAATATTCCATACGTATCGAGGCATCCGTATAAAAGTCGATATTCCAACAGATATCAATCAATCCAGCCGATTATAACAAAGGAAAATGACAAGTATCAGAGCTTAGAAATACAATAAAATAATTATATATAGTAGAGAATACATACCATCTAGACCAACTGTAGCTGCACAATATGTGAATGGAGATGTTACACAGTCGACAATATCATTTGCATGAAATTCTTCTAAAAGTTCTGGTGCCAACGATGTATGAGAAAATGATAAATCTAGTTTCCAAATACCTCCATCAGAATCCTTTCAAAATGAACAATGAAATACTAGTCAATTTGTGCTAATTACAATAAATGAAGCTTACTTTAACGAATGAATGAGAAAGAAATGTTTATTTGTCATAGTAAAGTCCTGTAGTACTGATATTAAACATAGATCATTTCATGAAGTATCAATGTGTAATCTATGCAGAAGGTATTCTTTGCCTTAAAAATTATCGGAATCGATATAAAACAAATTGACGCCTATTCTAACTTAATGTAGCACAAATTTCTGCCTATCATATCGAAACAAAATTCCGTTTTTATTCATAGACTTAATAGTTGAACTACCACAGATGTAAAGGATTTAACTGGATAATTGTTAGAGAAAAGTGGGATTCCATTTAAATGAAGCATATAAAATACAAGAAATACATTTTCACAGTATTTGGTAATTGTTAGTTAAACTTTCCTGCATCTCAGTGTTTTCATCGAGATTTGAATTTTTAGTAAAAAATTGGATTTGGGAGTTTGTAGGGATTTAGTGATTTTCAAGTTGGAACTCATCATGGACTGATGTCAGTTAAGGAAACATTGGACACCTGGGGACACTGATCAGTTGTTTCATTCTAGTTCAGCAGTGCACACCCACGACGCTTCCGGGGATCGAAGCCAGGAACTTCAAGTTCCGTGGCCAGCACGTTATCATTGAGCCACTGGGTCAGAATCCAATGGTTCATATTTCCAACTTCTGTCAGTTTATGGTATAGTACGACCAGCACTAACCCAGTGGCTGAATGGTAACGAGATGACCACAGAACCTGAAGATCCTAGGTTCGATCCCTGGCTGTAGGGGGTGGTGGTTGCGCACTAGTGAGGAGTCCCATAGTGGGACAAAACAGCTGTCTAGTGCTCCCAGGTTTCCAATCTTCCTACAAGTGATGTCAGTCCATGATGAATACCAACTTTGATAAAAAAACAATAAAGGATAGATCGTTTCTTTCTAGGTAGTTGGATCTCAAAAACCAACTTCAGTTGGATAGGTTATCTTTGATTCAAGGTTCGTAGGTACTCTTTTGTTTCAAGATTATATTCATCACGGTGATATCAGTTGGAGAACCGCGGAAAATTTGGAAGTACTGAAAAGCTGTTCCGTTCTGGCATGAGACTCCTAAGCAGTACGGATCCTCGACTCTGCCAATTCAGAACCTTCAGTTCTGGCTGCTAAGGAGTTAACCATTCAGCCACTGTGTTAAAATCCGATGGTTTTGAATGGTTCTCTGGTTGTAATAAATAAAATCTACATAAACGTCAAACTTAATTATTTACAAATATTAATGTATCGGTGTCTTTCTTTCGTCAGCTTGCCATCTCTTTTTCTTGCTTTTATTTTGTTCAAAGGGTTACGCATTTGCGCTGCCTATCCTGAATTTATTATTGTTTCTGAATCATTTTAACCAATTGTACTTTCATAATAGTTTAAATGAACATTGTTTAGTTGAATTTCAGATAATGTTGAACTGTGAATATTATTGCACTACTATGAGTAATTGGATTCATCAATTGACAATCTTGATAGTTGCCTTGATTTAATCATTTGGTTATTTTAAGATTCCTATCATATCATATCGATTTCAGGCCTCATAAGTGTGTGTGCTTCTGACCACTATGAGATGGATGATATTTTATGAATGTGAACAACTGATTCTTCAGACAGAAATAGTATAGAGGCTGTGACATGTTACTATATGTCAATACATTTGAGGAAAGTGGATAAAACGAATAGTAAAGGAGTGATGACAGTAATTCCTATCATTATGAGCAACCGAAGGCATGGATATGTGTCATTGCGACTGATTTCAGGACTTAATGATACTGAAACAATAAACGATTAGTTATTTTCCAATAAGTTAGTAAACTACTCTACAACTTCTGTTCACAGCTTCATCTATCTCCCTATGTAGGTACTTACTGGTTGAAACACTAAAACGTATTACTGAGTACCATCTTCTGTCTCTCTCTCGGAATTAGGAATTGATTGACCGATTATTCGTAAATAATAGTTAGAGCTCAAATTGTCTGTGAATCGGTAACATCATTCATGCCGTATTGAAAAGTCAGCTTCTAAGTTTCATCTCCTACAAGGCACCTAACAGACAGATATTTAAAATGGACGACTGTATCTCTATAGTTGTATTATTTCGTTCATATACATATGATAATTGGAAGACCACAACTACAGATAAATTAAAAACAACCTAAACAGATTGACAGACTGTATTTGTATCAGACTGGACCGATGAAAACACCCTAAAAGATTAGGATTATGCCGATGATTTGTGTCTAATGTCGCACAAACTCGAAGATCTACAGGAGAAAACCAACGAGTTGACAGAAGAGGCGAGGCAGTGAAGATGGGACACCATTCAAGTGAACGTAGAGAAGACGGAGTTGATGATGATACCCAACCAATAACATCAACATCAACGACAAGCACCAATCACCATCAACGGGAGAAACCTAAAGAAATTTGTCTCTTCCACCTACCTACCTAGACAGCATCCTCTAAACTAAAGGCTGTGGCGGCGGCACAGGTGAGGATGTCAAAGCCAAGATCGGAAAAGCAAGACAGGCCTTCTTTCATTAATGTGAAATCAGTGTGGAGATCTACTGCACTCAGCATAAAGCGTGAACAAGATCCCGAAGTCAGTGCTTCTATGTGATGGTTGAGAGACTTGGCGTGTCAGGAAAAACATTTCCAACAAATTACAGTCATACTTCCATAGCTGCCACCTACGCTTGCTCACTCGATACTGAAGATGAGATGGCCAGAAGGAATAAACAACAAGGAACTCTGGCCGGGCAACGAACCAACCAGGAACCTATCGCTCAACAAATATGCAGAAGAAGGAAATGGAGATGGATTGGGCATACACTGAGAAGGCCGACTGGGGACATCACGCGCCAGGCCAGGTCAGGCTGTCGAGTGGAACCCAGATAGGAAAGGATGAGCTGGGCGTCTTAGTTGAGGGTGACATGGAGGATATGATGTGTAAGGAAGAAATGAAAGTTTGTGGGCAGTGGTGGAGCCAAGCTAAAAAGACTGCAGAGAAGAGAGTGCAACGGAGGCGTGCTACTGAAGCCATATGTTCCACTAGGAACCCAAGGGACAAACAATACAACTATTATTATTGTTATTATTATTAGAGTAGAATTTATCACTGAAGTAATCGGGTAGTGACTAACTCTTTCTAGGACATTGACTGGTCGCTGAGGATCAATCAACTTCATACATTTTTCATCAGATAACTATCCTTTCTAAATGGTATACTAAGGAAAAATAGTCATTGACTGTAGGTCCAGCTGTCGACAAAGCGATTATAAGAAAACAATATATATGATAAATGAACCATGCAAACTTTTGAGGAATAGACTAATTAAGACATCACTAATTGCTGTTCTTAGCTTTCTACGGGAGTATGAACTATATAGTTCACGGTTATCATGTTGTTATCACTCAAAGTCGATTAGAACTATACAAGTGTGCTCTAAAGCTTAAGGGTTGTACAGCCATCTGTCCACTGCCCTTTCTATTTTAATTGAGAATCTTTTTGCTTCAACTCATTTGCTTTTTCTATCCTGTTGAGAAACACAACACACTGGACTGACAAACGTCTACATAAGCTTCTACACTGTCATGTCTGTTGTTTAACGAATCTGTCATCAGTAATTTTCCTTATTTCAACCATCTTATAAAGTCTGAATAATTTTACTTTCTATTAAGCTTCAAAAAACTGAGACATTTTAAACTGACTTCAAAGCAACTACCAAATTAACTAATTAGGTTTAGTTATTTCGATTACAAAGATGGTTTTTCCGCAAAATAAAGAAATCTAGCTGGTCATTTCACTGATTGTTTAGCTGATCTTTAAAGTCGCTTATCTTTTCATCATATGTAGCAGGAAAATGTAACGCAGACCTAAGTTGCTAACATCTGTGACTGATTTACACTGTAAAGGTGAAATTTCAAACCCTAACTTTCCGGTATTTAACTGTCTTATTTCAACCGTAATCTGTAATCTTTTGAATTTCTTTTTTAATGAAGCTTGTTCTACGAATTCTGAAGTAAGTTGTATTGCGTTCTCTGAGCTGAGTGGTTGAATCGTGAAGCTCTCCTCGTCTCACTAGACATCATCATCAGCAGCAGCACTAACTTCAATTTGAAGTAAGCTAACAATATCTCCTCGTGAGTGATTAAGCAGCTTGTCATGACCAAGTGGTTTGTGACTGGTCACTTTTTTTACTGTCACGTCATCAGCTACACGAATTTTCGTGTTGACTGTTTCTCTGCCTGATGTATGACCTTGTTGCTGTTTTTGTTCTTCTTACTGGTCGATGGGTTGGATGTTTTCTATATGTATATTGATTGTTGACTGACCAAAATGCCAAGCTTCTAGAAGTCCTTTCCTATTCCATTTTCTGTCTGTTTTATAGGAAATGTCATACAGTGAAACAGTATTATTTACTGGATAACGTTTCAGACAAAATTTATTTTCCTTATGTACACCTGATATGAATATGTACAATAAATTTTGTCCGAAAAGTTATCCAGTAAATAATACTGTTTCACTGTATGACATTTCTTATAAAACAGACAGAAAATGGAATAGGAAAGGACTTCTAGAAGCTTGGCATTTTGGTCAGTCAACAATCAATATACATATAGAAAACATCCAACCCATCGACCAGTAAGAAGAACAAAAACAGCAACAAGGTCATACATCAGGCAGAGAAACAGTCAACACGAAAATTCGTGTAGCTGATGACGTGACAGTAAAAAAAGTGACCAGTCACAAACCACTTGGTCATGACAAGCTGCTTAATCACTCACGAGGAGATATTGTTAGCTTACTTCAAATTGAAGTTAGTGCTGCTGCTGATGATGATGTCTAGTGAGACGAGGAGAGCTTCACGATTCAACTATTCAGTTCATAAAACGCAAAGAACCTAGATAATTCACCTGAGAAACAAATATTCGCTGCCATATATTAACTTTCCGTCGCACCGAAACACAATGTACACTGAAACGTTCTCATTTTTCTTATCCAGCTACTGAAATTCGTAAACGGAACGAAATGTATGGAAAGAAAAGAACGTGTAGGTGTAAAAAAAGTGTGAGTTAATTGTTATTCATTAAAAAATCTAATAATTAGATGACTTACTTGAGCATACCACATAGTTGAATCAGGTATTGGGATTTTAATAATATGCATTAGACGAGATTTTGTTCCAACACGTAACTCATTCATTGGTTCTAATTCATACAAAGCACCTTCTTCTGAACATTCTGCTGTATCGATTGTTTCAAAATCCCATGTCTATTTTTAATAAAGTTTAGAGTGCAACCTCTGATTATATAGCTATAAAACAACTATGTATACAAAATGGTGATTAAGGTTGTTGAATAACTTGAATAAGCTAGTTTATTGTTAGTGTTCGAGTCCTATAGATCATTTGATAGAGCACTAAACTAAAATACTATTTCAGATCCTGCTGCAATTTAAATTTTGGTATCTATAGTGTATCTACAAGTAAGCTTGCTTAACAATGTTAACTACAACACTGTGAGTAGTAACAGAGATAATAAAAGCAGTGCATAATTGGCCAGCTATTGTCAAAAGTAAACTTTACTCGAGACTACTAACACAATCTATGGACAGTATGATCAACAGTTACATCCTAACAATTTATTTTACCCCAGAAACTCAATCATACTTGACAAGAAGATAGTCGAACCAATCGACGTAGAACTTTAGACAGAACTATATCAGTTCAGGTTACCACATGTAACAACAGGATATAAGATGAATCAAATACAAATGAAGAGATATATAAGTAGTGAAAGTGTATGACAAAGTAGGGAATAAATAAATGAAGTTTGTCAAATGTGTGTAAAATTCTGAAAGTGATAAGCAGCGGAAACATCTCTGCTTTTGTGATCTATTTTCAACCATATCGAAAAGAGTCTTCAACCATTGGTCCTTATGGTCTCCAGAATCTCAACCAGGTAGTCTACACCTCCCTACATTGGTTCAGACCAACAGTCAGAGACTTTATAGACTGATGTCACGTCTTGGTCTGGGCACCCTGAACCCTTTCCCAACCTGCTGCAACTTCTGCTAGCATTTCTCTTCGAGGCAGGCAGTAGCTTAAAATTCATAATAGATATCCAAGACACATCAGTCAGTTAAAGACCACAACACCACCGGCTGACCAATCATATAATGGTTACACTATACTTGGGCAATGCTGAGAAGACATCTATGTTCGAAAACTTGTAATCTCTGCACACCAACTTTCAACGGCAAACTCGCACAACCGCATAACAGAATTGAGTGGGCTGTAGAGCAGTATAGTCGTCGTTTAATGGGTAGTAGGATTCTCACTGGCTTTGAAGATGAAGTCAAAAAGGCCTTTTATATCTGACCTCACTGCTCATCAACAAGCAGCCTATTTGGGCTAATGCACTGGATATTGTCCATGACAGCTAAAATTATGCATTCAGTCACTAAAGAAATGAACAGTATCTATGTGCTAGAATACCATCTGAATGCTGCCCAGTATACCTTAATAACATAACCACCTTCAACTCTCCAAAAGTTACCGAAACTGGCAGTACATGGACTGATTATTTACTAGCATTCCTTGCATACAGATAACCGACTGGCATATATGAAGAAGTATTGGAGTGAAATATTGATATCGATCTATGAATAAACGACTTAACGGATCTTATTTTGACATGTACTATGAAAATACCCAATGGAAAGATAGACAGGGTCTCTGTGGTTTCTCAACTTAAACCACTATGGATAGATATATCTATGAAAAAAGGATAGTAAACTGGAGAATGAGTAGATAATCGCCAAATATTTCCAGTCGTTATATAAACGACACATTTGTTGTATGTACTCACAACGTTAACATTAAGGCAAGCAAAATGGTCACTTTCATGTCATAACTTGAAAATCAGAATATTATTTTTTTTGTTTGAATGCAATAATATCAACGAAGGTGGATAGAAAACTAAATAAATTTGGGGTGAGGCTAAAAGTTATCCCCAAGTGTTATAGTGTTCTGTATGAAAATATGTATAGTCTGTGTTTTCCAAGCATATAATTTGAAGTGAAAACTGTAATCATAAATCCTTTTTCATGCAACTTGAAGGCTCAGTTAACTTACTTTGATTTATGAGCATCATTAGTCATAAATAAATGTACCTATATGCCAACTAGGAGGTGGAATTGCAACCAATACTTTGTGAATGAATAAACGACATAAAACATGATTTGATAGCTGAGACAGTTTTAACAACTATAAAAATAGGTAAAATATGCATATAGCGTACTGAAAATATGCGAATTTCGAAACAGAATGCTACATCCTATAACAAGCACGATAACACCTAGGGATAACTTTTAGCCTTGCCTACCAGAAGCCTGAATGAAGTGGTAAATACTCCACCTTCTGTCACTTCGTCTTATTATGGTAAAAACAAACTCAGCTAGACTTCTAACAAACAGGGTGAAGATAATAAGCGAAAGTAGGACATATATTTGATACTGAAATAGAGAATGGAGAATGAATATGTTAACTAATTTGTCAGAAATCCAAACAAATCAAAGTTGAGCCTTACACATAATTTCTTCACTTTAAGTTAACATACTTCAAAACGCTGCATATAGAAAATGATACAAAAGTTGATGAACTGTACAGGGTAACTAGTCAAGAAGAGCATGATGAGTACAATAATAAGTGTTCAGGCAATTCCAATATTTAGGTAGAGTTGTCGCTCATTAGTTTAAGCAAATGACTTCCAATTAGTAATTAGTGGGTCTCAGGTTCCAGTTCCATTCCGCATATGGAGGTTTGGAAAGCCAGGTAGTATAATAAGCCCTCGCACAAAAGGTGTGGCACAGTACATGGTCAGCTATCTCTGTGAATGCATAAAAGAAAGGTCACCTAGTCAATAAAAAACAAGTGGCTTTGCACTACTGCTTAATTGTACGGATTGGCACACCTCACATCAGCACATCAAGCTATATGATGACAAGATGAATGGCAAGAAAATAGGGGTAGGAAGCCTTAAGGAGAAAATAAGAAGTGAGCATGAGACAAATAACTAAGTATGACAAATGGGACATATTTACCCCACGGATATTGATTCTAACCCCTATTACCTACATTCTAAACCCAGCAATTTTGGTTGTCATTTGAACCTCAACCGGGAGGTTTACACTACCGTACATAGCTCAGACTAGCAGTCAGAGATTACTTGACATGATATAAACTTTGTTTGACCACCTGTAACTTTTTTCTAACCTAAACCTACTTAGGTTAACATCTTGAGTCAACAAATAGAAAGCGAAGCAAAACACTAGCTCTATACAAACACAAATAGGGTGAAACAGATTATATTGTGAACATACATTCACTGTGAATGAATGCTGTTCTTTATAAGATCTATTTTTTCGACTAGAAATCAACTTATTGGACACCTTCATCTGCTAGAATTACTAAATTGAATAAATCTCAGCATGTTATTGTATAGTCAGTAGACGGAAGCACACTGGTATATAATATTTCCAAAGTTCAATTCATGGCTTTTAAAATCAATGACATTATACTGCTGGTGATAGCATCTACTGACAGTCAACCTTGCGGAAATTCACGCTTTGTTTTATAATTAGATTCTCATTGTTTAATTATCAGTTCGTCACGTATAACAAGTAACTATAATATATTGAAATGCAGTATGAAGTTTCGTTGTATGCATCCTTCCTGATAGCCAAGGAACAAGGTAACTGACCATTGTTAGTTGGAAGGAGACAAATGGTAGGAAGCTCTGATTGGCTTAGCTTTCACGATTGTTGGAACTTGCTAGTGAGGCAAGTTTCCAACCTCAGTGATACGAATGCCAACCCGTGCTACCAAGTGTTGCTGTTCTAGTAGTGATTGACCCTCCCCTTTAAGAATGGATTAGCCAGATTAATTAGCCACTAGCTCAGTGCCAAAGTCTTTCATTGTAGTACTGGGTGACGCAGGTTGGAATTTCACATTAGACATCATTTCTGTCGAGGTTGCAGATACACATTACTGAACTGTGAAAAAATTAAGAAACATATATCAGTCAGGGCTTCCTGTCGATTGGATCCATCCAAATAACATCTATGAATCTCCTGGCTTGGTGGACACATCACAAAATGACTGATGGAATCCGATCAGGACTAGATAACATGACCTTTTTTCTGTACATAAATATGAGGGTAATAAAAATTTATTTAAACTTACTCTTATCCATCCATCCTGCCCAACTGTTAATAACTCTCCTTCATCCACAACAATTTGCATGATATGTCCATTATGACAGGATCGTTTGCCTTTACGTGAAATTTGTACTTTAATTAATTCACCTTCCCAAACAAGTAGATTACCCCAAGCAGAACCTGTCAAAACTTTTCCATCCGGTAGTGTTACAAATCCTTCAATATCTGATAATTCAACTTTACCAAATTTTCCCAATTTCCCTTGAAGTTTAAGACCTGTAAATGTATTTGCCATTTTCCAAAATCTTATATGTCCAACACCAGCCGTAGTTAGAACACCATATAAATCAGTTGACCATGCAACTCGATAAATATCTTGTGAAAAAGCTTTAGCTCTCAAGATAATCTGTTCACTTCTCCATTCCCATAAAGTCAGCATATAGTCAGGATCAGAACCGACTGTAGCTATCATTTCACCGTCTGGGCTATTCAAAGTAGGTTTAACAAATTAACTAATGTTTTAATATGGACATTTAGAGAAGACTGTTTTACCTATTACAATCGATGCAATGGTGTAAAAATAAAAATTACGCGTGATTATCAACTCATAATTATTATAATTATTATTAGTCCCTTGGGTTCCTAATGGAACATAGGGCTTCAGTAGCACGTCTCCAGTGACCTCTGTTCTCTGAGATTTTTTGAACCTGGCTCCACGACAGCTCACAACCTCTCATTTCTTCTTTGCACGACCTCCTCCATGTCACCCTCGGATGTCCAACTCGTCGCTTCCCATGGGGATTCCACTCGAGGGCCTGACGCGTGATGTCCTCAGTCGGCCTTCTCAGTGCACGCCCAATCCATCTCCACTTCCTTCCAGTGCATATTTGTTGCGTGATAGGTTCTTGGTTGGTTCGTTCCCAGAGCTCCTTGTTGCTTATTCTCACTATTCTAGCCATCTGATCTCCAGTAGCGAGCGTAAGCAGTTGTTGATGAATGTCTGTAGTTTATTGGAAATCCCTTTCGTGACGCGCCAAGTCTCTGAGCCATACAAGAGCACTGACTTGACGTTGGTGTTGAAAATCCGTATCTTGTTCCGCATGTTGAGTGCAGAAGATCTCCACACTGGTTTCAGGCTAATGAACGCGTCTTGCTTTTCCGATTCTGACTTTGACATCCTCGTCTGTCCCGCCTGTAGTTGAAACAGTGCTTCCTAAATAGGTGAAGGAGGTTACTTCCTTTAAGTTTCTCCCGTTCATAGTGATTGGAGCTTGTTGTTGTTGTTGGTGCGGTATCTTCATCACCTCTGTCTTCTCTATATTCACTTGAAGTCCCGTCTTCACCGCCCTGCCTCTTCTATCAACTTGTTAGTTTTTGCCTGCAGATCTTCAAGTTTATGTGACATCAGACACAAGTCATCGGCGAAATCCAAGTCTTCTAGGTTCTTTTCCGCAGTCCAGCCAGCGTATCCCCCTCTTCTCACAGCTCCCCACTGTTTGCTGCATGATCCAGTCGACCACAACACAATCAGGAATATCATGGGTGATAGTAGACAACCTTGTTTCACTCCTGTCTTCACTTCAAAAGCATCACTGAGCTTCCCATTGTGGATTACTTGGCATGTGGCATCTTCATATAGCTGTTGAATGAGGCGGATAAAGGATTGCGGTACTCCGTAGTAGTGAAGCAGTTTCCAAATTACTTCTAGGTCGACGCTGTCAAAGGCCTTCTCAAAGTCGATGAAGTTGAGGTAGAGAGCTGATTGCCATTCTATGCTCTGTTCTATGATGATGCGAAGCGTTGCAATTTGGTCAGCACATGATTTGTACTTCCTGAAGCCTGCCTGTTCCGGTCGCAGTTTTGAATCCAGTGCATCCTTTAGCCTCTCCAGGATGATGCGGCTTAATATTTTGTTTGCTCTGGGTGGACAGGAGAGTGATTCCTCGCCAGTTCTTGCAAACACTGAGGTCTCCTTTCTTCGGCAGTTTGACAAGGTAACCCTTCTTCCAATCGCCAGGTACCTTCTCTTCCTTCCACACCTTCTGCAATAGTGGTGTAGTGTTAGCATGTCTGCTGTTGTCTCTGCGTCTGTTCTCAGTGCTTCTGGCGGGAAGACACATCGGCCAATTGGCTTCCCGAGGGCTTTCACCAACTGGCGTCATTTCGCCTCTCCAATTCCAGCGAGGAATAGTTTTGTTTTCATTTTTATATTTAGTTTGTGCTTTGAAGTTTCTTTAGCGGTTAGATTTGTTTTACGGGGTAGGGTTGCTAGCCCTATGCCCAACCTTCCCTCTTTACCCGGGCTTAGAACCGGCTAGTAACTAGTGAACTAGTTAACTAGTTAATAATAATAATAATCAACTCATAATGCGCAATCCTAAATACACTGTACTACAGTGTCATATTATCTGTACATGTTCGGTGAATTCAAACGAGCCTTTAGGATTTGTTAGGCATTGTTAATAATCAGTGACTAATTTGTGCACAAAATTACGTTCCATAAGAGGTTAGTTTTGACCACAGCTGCTCATGAATAATATTTATTACTATGGAATTAAGTAACGTAGGTTCTAATTTCTAAACAGACATAGATTTTGAGATGGTGGAGAGTTATTGTAGCTCAGGAGGATAATTTTGATGGTGTTGTGTTTTCTCAGCTGGATGGTTTAATAGTAAAGCTTTCATTGTCATTCCACACAACATTATCAGCACAAACTTCAGAAAGAAGTGAGCTATAAGTTTTTCTTTACAATACCACACAATGCCATCAAAATTATCTCCCTGAGCTACAAATATTCTCCACCATCTCAAAATCCTACGAGCATCCAAAGCTTCTTATTGTTCGGAAACGGGAGAACTTCGCCGAAAAGTTAGCCTCCCCGAGAGAACAACAATATTTTCAGCTAGTGTTGGATACAAATCACTTATCGACTGTCCAATGGGTCGTAAATTAGTGCAAAAGAATGGGAGACACATGGTTCAACTGATGATCACCAATGTTCATCATAGGGAGTCGGAAATGTCAACAGACTACAGAAAGCCAAAACAGAAAGCTTCAGGGGATACTCACAAAAGAACGCTTTGTAACGTTGGGAACTGCAACTTAAAAATCAAGCAGACGACAAGAAGGACAGAGGAAAAACATCCTTCAAGAGAAGCTTGCCAAGATTTCAGAATCACGAGCTTCAGAAGAGAAAAAACAAGTAATTTCATAGCCGACCTGTCAAAACAATACCTGACTAAATCCGAGGAACTCCCTCTATAGGGAGGATTAAATTACATTCAAGGAGACGCTTCAGGATCAGCATTTTTCGCATCCCTGGAGTCATCACTGAAGACTTCGGGAAAAATCTCTGAGATCTAACAAGAAATACGACAAGTAATCGTACCACTGACCGGGCAGAAACAAAACTCCATTCAACTAATCAGTGAAGCACAGAAAGGACTTAAGAATCAGAATAACAGAAAGAATGTTGTCATAATTCCAGCTGACAAAAAGTGCAGTACAGTAGTCATGGATCAAGATGACTACATCAAAAAGGCAGAAGAGCTACTCATAGACCGAAATGTATATCAACCAGTGGAGACACACCCATTCAGAAGTTTGACGACTAAATCACCAAGACCTTGGACAAACTCTTCAAAGTAGGACAGATTGCAGAACAAAAGAGATGGCAAATGAAATCCAAATGGCCTGTTCTACCCTGTTTCTATGCTAAACCAAAATTTTACAAACCAAACATCCCACTATGACCAATTGTTACACTTCCAGAAACCCCAATATATAATCTTTCCAGTGAACTCTACAGAAAACTAAAACATCTGGTAGAATCGTGCGAGCACTCTATCAACTCCTGAAAACAATTTCTGGAAAAGATCAAGCATGTTCATATTGATAACGACAAGCTAGTGGTGCCTTTTGACGTTATGGCTCTATAAACGTCAACTGAACCGTAGTAGCTAAGGGTACAATGACTCTCTTCCTCAACAATGATACACACCTCTCGGAACACATAAACAACTATGTTGAAGTTTGGTGGGATTAATTGATTTATGCCTTGCAACATATTTTCAATTCACAGACAAACTCTACAAACAGACAAAGGGAACAACAATGAGATTGCTTATATCAGGACTACTTGCAGAAGTAGCAATGCAACGGTTGGAAACTGTGGTAATGCCGTTGACCAAACTAAAACTTTGGGTCCAAAATTTTGATGACACGTTTTTCATCATTGAAAGAAAAGAATTGAAAAACGCTCACATACTATTCAACAGCATTTTCGACGACATCAGGTTCACAGTTGAAGAGGAAACAAATGATAAACTTGCATTTTTAGATGTTCCGACTTCTAGAACGGATTCAGGGAAATCGGATACTGAAGTATGCAGAAAACCAACTCATGCGGATTAAATACTCAACTACAATAACAACAACCCAACAGCATATAAAATCCGTTGTACAAAAATATTGTTGAAAAGAGCGAAGATAAACTGTGTTACGACGGCCCTGAGGAGAAAACAAGAACACTTTGATGACAGCTTTCCAGAAGAATATACGTATGCTATACTCAAAATATTTTTCCTTCACAACGTGTGGACACAGTTGACCTTACTGAAGGTGATTGTGGCAGTTTTCCAAACCATGACTTCTACAGATCATCTCTCAATATGACACTTCCCTTCTCTGATTCCTTTCGATTTGCAATGAAATCAAAACAGCTAGTTGACCAGCTAATGTGATGACGATATACGGACAAGTATGTATTACAAGTTCAGTTGGCAGCTGGGTGAAATCTTCAGTGAAGTTAGAACTCGGTAAGGAGCTGAATTCTGTGGCTCAGTTGGTTAATTGTCAGACTGGTAGCCCTGAAGCCGCTGCTTCAAATTCTACAATGACCCAGGTTTCCATTTCAACTTCAGTCATCATCCAGTACTAATAACATCAGGATAAACCCATTTATTGGTCCACATCTATTTTGATCATTACACTTCTCAACAACACAGACTAAGAATCATCTTACGTGGAGAGATTTCAACACTCAAACGAATCACATGAAGAGGTAATGAACAACTAAATGAAAGTGGATAAATAACTCAGAATTTTGTGGATCATAAAAAGTAGATGTAATCACATCATTGTAGTCGATTTTAGATGACACCACCCCAAGTTTCAGAACATAAGTTCATAACATATTGACAAAGCCAGTAAGAGTAAATGACTTCAATCTGACCACACTGTAAGTAACACATTCAGGAAGATAGTGGCTTGGCATATGTAACACATATCCTGGTTATCACAATAACTGCAGATTCAAAAATTTACCAATTTAGTCCACAACACGAATAGTATTAAAAGGTTTCATGTTGACATTTAGTTATCTTGACTTAGTGTTCATAAACCTAATTCATACAATAACAGTATTCAACAATGGTAAATCAATTTTCATTAGTCACTCTGAAGAAATGAAAAACAGCCTGTCAAGAAACTCTTTATGCTGAATAGTTAGTTAACTAGGAGTGGAATGTAACAGATAGCACTGATCAACATGTTATTAAGGTCAAAGTAACATACTGCAGATAAGTACAACAGTAAGTGTTGTCAAAAATTCAGTCGTTGTCGGAAGGCTAATGCTGAGTATCACAAAGAATACCTGCAGAAGAGCACTGACGTCAAAAAAAGAAGATGAATATGATAGTTCTAAGATTCTTCAACTGAACTGAGAAGAAACAGAATTTTTGTTTTATTTTATTACAACTGTTTCTTGTAGGTTAGATCTTCTTGTAGAATCTCTCTGGTAGAAACTGTTAAATTTTGGTTCACTTATCTAGGCATGACCTCTAACCGATGGGTCACGGGTTCATACACCACTCCATCTATCGAGATTTGGTCAGGCAGGTAGCATCATTAGTTCTTACTCAGTAGGTGTGGCTCATTTCCTAATGCATGAAAGTGAAAAAGGCTTCTGAGTACCTTTGAATTAGTAGAAACTACTAAAAATAACTTCACTGTTAAACATTGATCAGATAGATATCTCGAAGTCCTATGGGATAAACCAGCCGGAAGTGAAGTGGATCCCAACTGAAGACCTTTGTGGATAGTCACGATATATCTCGCAAACTGATAGAAGCAGGAAACTGTACACCATTGAACTCCTATCCAAAGGATAGATGGTTAACGCGTGCACCGTGAGACATGAAAGTGCTGAGTTTGTTCCCTGGTGACGTCATGGTTGTGTGCTGTCGAAAAGTTGCATATTAGGATAAAAAAGCTACCCATTACCCGCAGGCTTCCAATGATTCTGCAGGTGATGTCAGTTCGTAATGAATACTACCTGACAAATAAACTGCCACATACCTCAAACTACATTGCTGACTGTTTTGTTCAGAATGACGCAGTCTACTGTCAGCGGATTTAGTTTTCACCCCACTGTCAACTTTATTGTTGTTATCACTACTATTATTATCATTATTACTATCATCGTTGTCATCATTGAATTCTAAGCCAAAATCCGAATGATTCATTAAACTGCACCATTAACTAAACTCTTATTTGATTATGTAACTTTTCTCTGACCTTGGTAGTGGCTAGTAGAGTAATCCAGAACTCGCATTCCGTTCTGTTTCGGAATAGTCAGCTGGACGTACCTGCCTCTCAGCGGCTGATGTTGTCTCCATCAAGACTCTAACCCTAAACTAACCACTTCAAACGCTACCAAACACTATTAGTGGCAAAGTTAAAACAACGTGCGATTTCGAGGATAGGACAGTATTCATAATGGAATGAAATTAGTTGAAGGATCACTAAAAACCTGAGAGGACTGGAAAGTTGTTTCATTCTGGCATGAGACTCCTCAGTGGTACTCAGCCACGACTCCATCAAGAATAGAACTCAGAACTTTTAGATCTTGTGGCTAATAGGTCAGCTATTCAGGCACTGGGTTGGAGTTCAGCGTCCCACAGTTTTCTACTTCCATCACTTCATGATATCTGGTAAGGTGTTCAGTTGGCATCCACTTTACTTTCGACTAGTCGACCCAGCTAACGTCACTACAAATCCCTATAAATCTTAAACCAAAATTATGCATTGATTTGAATGGATTTCATTTATGTGAACAGAAATCGTGTTAAATGTGAATAAAGAATTCACTAATAAATTTTATTGTTTTTCATCATCAGTTTATATCTAACCTGTCTGTAACCATCTTCAGCATGATACAGGTAAGTTTTAATATAAACCCAAAGTATGAAATGTGGACCATTGAATTCTGACCCACTGGCTCAATGGTAACATGCTGGCAACGGAACCTGAAGATCCTGGACTCGATCCCTGGCAGTGCGGCTTCATGGGTGCGCACTACTGAGAAGTTCCATACTAAGATGAAACAGCTGTCTAGTGCTCCTAGGTTTCCTGTATTCCTACAACTTATGTCAGTCCATGATGAATTCCAACCTAAAATCGACCCCTACAGATCACCAGATAGAAATAATCCCATGGTGATTAGAAAATTAAAAACAAGATTTTACTGAACGTTTTCACTGTGAAATATATTGAGTGCTCAACTTCTCTCAGAACATTCATAACAACTATGATCTGAATATCTAGTACCTTCAGCATACTTAAAACTTATGGATATTATCAACTGTAGTCGTTATAATTGATACATGAAATAAATAATAAAACGTAGGGAACACTGAACATACCTAAATTGGCAAGCAGAATAAACAGCTTGTGTACCTTCTTTTAATAGACGATACAATTTTATTTCAGGATACTGATAAATACAAACATATGGAAATTCACCTTTCTCAGCTATTGCTATATACTTACGCTCAGGGTGGACAGAAAATGCACCAATACCAATACCACTAATTGAACGTATTGTAATTTTTTCATGTGTATCAGTATTCATTATTTGTAAGTAATTACCATATATATGACAGAGAATATTATTCTTAAGTAATTGTAAATTTTCTCTACGTGATACATCCATACCGAATTGATGATAAACATTTAATAGATTCTCTGGTATACCAGAATCTTCAGTGATAATTGGTCGAGCAATATATTCATTAATGTTGTAATATAACTCAGGATCAATAATTTTTTTTGGTTGTTCATTTGGCTTTATAGCATAATTTTGACTATGTTCATCAACATCAGCATCAGCATCATCATAAGCGTCATCATCATTTACTTCTTGTTTATGTTGATCATTTTGACTACTTTCCTTTGATGATTCTACTGCACCTTCTTCAGATGCTAACTTCTTCATAGCCTCTTCATCTTTATTATCTTCCGATTTGTAAATTTCTGTATTTTCCTCTGGATTATCAGTTTGTTCTTCATCATTGTTGTTGGTTTGCAGTTCAGTAGGTGGAATATTTTCTTGCGGTAAAGATTCATTAGAATCATTAGAAGGTGATATTTCTTCTTGGTTATCAATTGAAGTACTTTCAGTATTCATAGTTTCTTGTTCTTGTCTGTTTGATGAGTTGTTTTCGTTTAGATCATCTTCTTGATCAAACAGTTTGTCAATTCAGTTTAACCTTTTCCTGAAAAAATTAAAAAAATATTTAATTTGTGGGTTTGTTGGGATTTATGGGTCTCAGGTTGGTATTCTTCATGGACTGAAGTCAGCTGGGGAAATATTAGGAACCTAGGAGCACATCATCATCATCATCATTATCAACATAGGACCAGGCATTACTGCGTAACGGTCCGAGTTGCCACACCTCATATCAGCACATCAAGTAAAAAGGTAGTGAGGTGAAGGATGAAGATAAGTGAATGCAGTCAAAAGAAATATAAAGTATGAGAAGAAAGGAAAGAGGAGTGACAAAATAGTGAGATTCGGTATAGCGTTGTTAAGATGAGGATAATGTGTGTATACATCTGCGCCACTGACTTCGGTTCTGAGCCATATCACCTAGGGTCTCCAACCACTGGTTCCTCTTGTCCCGTGGACCCCAACCACCTAGTCTGCATCGTCCTACATGGCTTAAACCAACAGTCAGAGACTTCATACATTGGTGCCATGTTTTAGTCTGGCCACCTCGGGCCTTTTTCCAGCCTGAACCCACCTCAGCCAACATTGTGTGACGAGGCAATCGGTGACTAGGCATACGTAGTACGTGTCCCAACCATCTCAGTCGATGAAGGTTCACAACCTCGTCGACTGACTTACCTCTTCTCCCTAAAACTCTACACCTAACTTCTGCATTACTCACATGGTGACACCACGGAATACGTCCTATACTACGAAGGCAACGGTGGTCAAATACCTGTAACCTTCTCATGTCTTCCACTTTCAATGGCCATGTTTCACAGCCATACAGTAGAACAGAGCGGACTGCTGTGCAGTACACGCGACCCTTAATAGACAAACGAATATCACGGCGGCGCCATAGGTGGCGCAAATTGGCAAAAGCCAATCGAGCCTTTTGTATCCGTGCAGAAATCTCATCGGCAACTAACCCACCGGAGTTGATCCTACTTCCCAGGTAAGTGAAGTGGTCAACACACTCAACCACTTCACTCTCTATTGTTAACCGCGGTACCGCTGAAGACCAGTCCTGGAGCAAAAATTTGCATTTGGGTGGTGAAAATCGCATCCCAAACATTCTCAAATTCCCACTCAAAGTGTTCAGAAGACTCTGCATCTTGTCAGCGTCTTCACCTAACAGGACTATGTCATCTGCATATTCTAGATCTAAGGAAAATTCACCTGTGGTCCGGTCAACGTCTTTGTAATTAGGTGACGAGAGGGAAACCTCCATAAGAATATCTATGATAAAATTAAATAAGAATGGGGATAGTGGGCATCCTTGACGGACACCACTTGATGAGTATAGCTCCCTGGACAACTCACCATAGGCTCTAACATGCCCACAAGTGTTCGAGTAGAGAGCTTTCAATAAGGTGATGTACTTACTAGGCACGCCTTTCAGTGACAGACACTGCCATAAGACTTCTCGATCAACGGAGTCAAATGCCGCCTTCAGGTCGAGAAATACAGCTATTGTCGGGCGTCTGTAAGCATGCCTATGTTCCAGGACCTGGCGCAGTGTGAATATTTGGTCGATACATCCACGGCCAGGTCTAAAGCCTGCCTGGTTTTCTCGGGCTTGCTGTTCCCGAGCTCCACTCAGGCGTCGGAGAATTATAGAACTTAGGATCTTAGACACTATGTTTGTCAGGCTGATTCCTCTGTGGTTATCACAAGAGGACTTCTCGCCTTTCTTGAAGACTGGGATGATCAGTGACTTAGACCAGTCGGAGGGGATCGTATTTGATTCCCATATACTGGCTAACACTTCCGTTAGCCTGACTAAGAGAACTCTACCACCATTCTTGTATACCTCAGCAGGTAGTCCGTCTGGTCCTGCTGCCCTTCCCCGTTTCAGGCTACCTACCGCTTTCTCGACTTCTTCTAGTGTTGGGGGACCTGTCTCTATGTCCCATTCAGGGTCCGACTGGATAGCGGGCAGCGCAATGGTGGCTGGAGGCCAGTTAAACTGTTCCTCAAAGTGTTCTGCCCATCGTCCCAGTCGCCTTCCCTGCGAGTGAATCGCCGATCCGTCCTTCTCCGCTATAACCTCACTAACTGTTGTTGACCATTTCCCCCCAGTCTCCTTAATAAGTCTAAATAACTGTCTACTGTTACCGATCGCCGCTGCCTTTTCCATCTCTTTAGCCTTTGCTGCCCACCACTGTTCACGATCGTTGCGCAGACTTTTCGTCAGTTTATTTTTAAGTTGCGCTCGCTCTTCATTGTACTCAGAGCCTGCAGGGATGCATTCACGTGCATCCATTAGTTTGGAAGAAGCTGCTGATATCCACTGGCTCTTTTTAGCCATTATCTTGGAGTCGGCTACAGTCTCCAGTGCTGCTTTTACAGTAGACTGAAGATGGCACCAAGCTTCTTCTGGATGAGTGACAGTCTTTTGTTCCGATAACTGCCTAGCCAACTTCTCACTGAACACGGCTTTGGTGTTTTCGTTGTCCAGCAGAACTCGTAGTGGTTTTGTTGCCAAATTTTTTCTACGTCCATTGAGACGCAGGCATATACGTGCTCGGACCAACGCATGATCGCTGTCCAAACACGTACTCCAGAAGGAGCGGCAGTCTTCCACCGATCCTCTCCAGCGATGACTAATAGCAATGTGGTCTATCTGTGTCCATCGCTGAGTCGAGCTCGGTGGACGCCAGGTCAGACAGTGCCTTTCTTTATGTCTGAAATTTGTGCTGGCTAAAAATAGGCGGTTATCTGAGCATAGTTGTAATAGGCGATCACCGTTATCTGTACGTTCAGCTGGGATTCCGAAAGTGCCACCTAAGTGCCTTTCTGCCTCACTCAGTCTACCCACCTGTGCGTTGAGGTCACCTGCAACAACCACTACGTCCGAACGTTTGGCTTTCGAGAGGAGGTTAGACAGTTTATGGTAGAACTCGTCCTTCACTTCATCCGAACTACAGTCAGTGGGTGCGTAAGCAGAGATTACAAAGAGACAACGGCGAGTCTCACTATTCCTTTTAGTTCTCACTGTGCCGTTCAGCCTCATAGCGCAGAGGCGACTATCAACTGGGATCCAGTCTAGTAGTGAGTTTTCTGCCCTGGTGCTTAATGCTATACCTACACCTGCAAGACCACGAGAGCTAGCTATCGAATCTCCAGAAACTCGAAGGGTGAATTTTGCAGATTCACCAGATTGGTCAGGAGAGGTCAGGTGAATAACCACACTTGGGTCCTGTATGCGTGTCTCACAAACACAGCACACATCCATGCCCGAGTTGCTAGAGTCTTTGCCAACGAAGCCTGTTGGCCAATTTGACGGAGGGTGCGGACATTGAAGGCTCCAATATGTAATTTGGAGCGTGGTTTAAGGAGACCAGGGACACTGTTCTGTGGACTCAGATCGTTGTCGAAGGCTGCAGAGGTAGGAGAAATTGAAGATGATGCAGCATCATTAATTAAGAGACGTGAAGGAAGATTAGAAGGTAATGATGGAGGAGGAGGATAGCAGTCAGAAGAAACTTGGGTGCTGACAGAGTTGTGAGGGCGGTTGACACTTCCCGGCTGCCCACACCGTGGAAGGCTATTTCTTCTTAAGGTACCTGAAAGAGATTTGTGTGACCGCAGAGCCCATCGGACATCTGCTTGAGGCCTGTCACACCCAGCCTTTTGAGTATGATTATTTTGAATTTTTGTATTTTTGGGGCCGGATGAGCGAAAGGAAACGACAAGTGAACCAACACCGCCGGCCCGGCAGACCGTGGGGCGTGGTGGAGTGTGTTATTTTTGGGGCCGACCTTTTCTAACCCCCCCTTCCACTGAGAAGGCAGCATCAGCTTGGCACTGCTGGTCATCCAAGGGAAACACCTTACTGCTGTCACACCCCATCCAGCTAGCAGCAGTACGACTTCGCCCTCAGACCCCCATCATAGTATAGCAATTTACACTATGACGGTAACTGCTTTTCGTCTAACCACTACCCAACAGACCTTTCTGGTATGGTAGGACCTCGAGGGAACAAGCGTTCCACCAGCATAGCTCGTTGGGTCATTGTGATATGCAAGCCCGACCACCACGTCAAGGTAGCTATCGGTCGGGGGTTGCAGCTATCGGTCGGGCAAGGAGCACTGGATAACTGTTCTGTCCTACTATAAGACTCCTTAGCAGTGCACACCCATGACCCAGCCGGGTCAAACCCAGGACCTTCAGGTTCCACGGACAGCATGTTACCATTGAAGCACTGGATCGCGATCCAGTGGTCCATATTTTCATATTTTCTATTTAACCGATGCAAGTTGTTTGTTGAAATTAGCTGATGATAACAAGTAGCTATGAAGGTTGCCCCGAAATAAACTATCTATAAGATACCATTTTAGTCTGTTTATTAGAAATACAACACAGTGAAACAACAGCATTTACTGGACAACGTTTCTTATGACTTAAAGCATAGGTTAAACGACATACACTCAGACGACAGTGAAAAAAAATGGTTAGTTTTGACATAACTAGCCTTTACACAAATATACCGATCGACATGGCTCTAGAGGCATTTAGAAATGGGCTTAAACGTGACAAAGAACTAACGCATCGAACTAAGGTGCCGATCGAGGAAGTAACATTAGGAGTACGATTGTGCCTAACATCTACAGTTTTTAAGTTTCAAGATAAAATATATAAACAGACTGAAGGTGTTACCATGGGATCACCAATATCCCTTATTTTCGTAGACATATTTATAGATAGTTGGGAATAGATGGCCCTTCAAACATTTAGTCCTACTCCAAAGATATGGTTCCGATATGTAGGATGAAACGTTTACAATACTGACATCGGAACACATCAATAGGTTAATGGCACATAAAAATTCACTAGTGAATGCAATCCAATTTATCTGTGACTTAGAAAGTGATGAAGGTGAGCTAGCAATGTTAGATTGCAAGATTAAAAGAACA